GGAAGGGTGTCACTATTTCCATTCTGGATGGATGGGAACTCATGAAGGACTCCCTCCAAAATGTCTATGAGACCAAGGGTTATGTCCAAAATTTTAAAGGATTGTGAAAAACATTCTACTAAGACAACTTTCACATTTTAAACTTTAATTCCTGTTCTTTTGCTATTTACCACAGTTGTAGGGGAAGAATGTTTTTTGAAAGGAAAATCAAGACATAGTCTTTGAGAAAAAGGTTAACTGTGTTTTCCTAAAATACAGACACAGGGTCAACATCCCCTCACTCCCCCACAAAGAACACAGACCAGAGGGACAGGAGGGACCACAGACACAATGATCTGTGTACTGGTCAGTCTAAAAGCACATGACCACTTAATGACTCACTAGAGGTCCCTAAGCCAGTACCTTCAGGGCCAGGCAGGTATTGGAGAATGGATTCATCTCAGTGAACAAATTCACTTTGTTACAGGTCTTGAAATGCTCATTCTTCTCTGTTGCTGTATGTGTTCCCACTTTAATAGAAACACAGGTACATAGCATAGTTCTCTTGCTCCAGCATTGGAGTTGGTGATGTGAGGATGCTGCTGATGGGCTCTCTCACTGGGTCTTGGTGTCACGGGGGACTGGGAGTGAAGGGGAGAGTACCAACACATGGTCCTCTGAAGTAAACCACCACTCTCAGAGCGAGCTCATTAAAGCCACAGAGATAATGGGCCTGGAGTTGCCGGATCTCCAACATTTCCCAGAGCAGCCTCAGGACCAGGATTCTAAAGCAGTATTTCCTGATCTTTAAGTGTTGGCAATGAATGTTAACGTCCCTAAAGTGCTGAACAGCAGACGTCTAGGGGTGCCTGTGCTCATTATAACAGGTGGGTGGCCAAGGAAGATATGGGACTGGTGGCAGGCATAGGAGTCGTCCAAGAAGGATGTGTGACATTCTGCCCTTCATAGGAAAACCAACTGGAGACAAAGCCAAATTCATTTGAGGGGACACTAAAACATAAGCAGGAGTCTTGGAGGATGGAGAGATGGCTCAGTGACTAAGAGCATTTGCTGTTATTGCAGAGGACCCTGTTTGCTTCATAACTGTCTGCAACTTTAGTTCCAGCAGATCTGGTGCCTTCTGGCCTTTGTAGTCACTGTATGTACAAGTGTGCATATGCACATACAGATAAAACACTCATAGATAAAATAAAAAGTAATAAATCTTTCTAAAAGAAGTTTTTCTTCTTAATGTCAGAGACAGTACTTCAATTGGCAGCATAATGGAAACACCAATATTTACCACAGAGAGAAAATAAAAGGGAGACAAATTCCAAACTTGAGCAAGCCTTGTTTTTTTTTTGTTTTTTGTTTTTTTTTTTTCTGAGACACGGTTTCTCTGTGGCTTTGGAGGCTGTCCTGGAACTCGCTCTGTAGACCAGGCTGGTCTTGAACTCCCAGTGATCCGCCTGCCTCTGCCTCTGCTGGGATTAAAGGCATGCGCCACCACAGCCCAGTTCCAGGCCTTGCTTTTAACAGAGGTTAGCAGAGGACAGTGGTAATGACCTAGAAAGGGCTACTAAGACCTTCCAGACCGGACCAACGTGAGACAGAACGTCAAGAAATAAAACCAGACTGGAGGCTATGGCTTCACCCCCCTCATAAACCAGGAGTAATTATGGTGAAACAAGCCTCAACACCTTTGTAGTGTATATGATAATTGTGCCTGTTCTGCCTATTTACATTTCTTGTATGTGACATTTGGTTCTTGTCATCTAATTAATTCACATGTCCCTCAAGAAGCCCCTTCTGTACAAAGGAGGAGATATCTAAGGCCCAGGCACGCCCAACTGTCTGACATCATGACGAAGCATTGGCATCTGCAAAGGTTACACTCAAGAACTGCACAACAGAGTTACAAGGGGGACTATGTGGTGGTTTAAGTGTGTTTCCAGTTTTGCGTTGGTTTACACTCACAGCTACCCTGTGCCTCGCCCAGCCTGTGAGCCACGGGAAGGACCCTAAGAGTGAGCCCTCATACACAAGTATCCGCAATTACCGAAGCAGTGCGTGAAAGCCACAGGGTACAGACTGTGAACCAGCTTCCAGCTTCAGGACCAAAGTGTCCTCCTGACCCCTCCCCCAGACCAGTGAGTTATGGACAGAGAGGAAGGAGGTGGCTTGAGATGCCAAATCCACAGTCTGGGCCACCACACCACAATGGGCCGCAAACCCCCCCAAATGAGAAGTCCCCGGGTGCCACTCAGACACTGCCTACCGGACCTCCCAGCAGCCCTTCACTGATGATCGGTTCTTTATCTTTCTTGCCTATGGGGACCGGCTTTCCTCTCTGCCTCTTCCTCATCTCTGGGTGTCGGGGTTCTTTGGATTTCTCCCTGTATTAGCCAACTCTTCCTACAGCTTCCCCACCGCATAGGAGGACTCTCCGGCTTTATCCTGTTCTAACTCCAGGAAACCAGGCCTGTATACACTGGATTCTCGGAGTCCTGTGAAGTCGAAGGACCCACAAGAGCAGCTTCTTCTGTGTGGACCGGCCCTTCCTCCCGGCTGGCATCCCCTCATTGAACAAATCTTCATTTGTTCTTGATATCTTCCCCTCCCTTGTCTCTCAGCTCTAGTGCATTGCCACATTCCGACTATTCTGGTAACAAACGTATCTCCAAACAGCGCCTTTCTGCCATCTCTGTCCGCTGTGTGTGGTCCAAGCCACTCTCTCCTCCCGTCTGTTCTTGCGAGCCATTCCAAACCCCACAGCCATAGGGCTCCAAGCCACTGGGCTGCTTGTCACCGCTCGCTGCACTTGCTTCCTGTGGCCTCCCATGGCACCTGAGATAAAGTTAAATGCTCAGCCCCACCCCACCCCCGGCCCTGCAGGACCGGTGTTCATGGCCATCGAGGGTGAGCTTCACCCTGGAGACACATTCCTTCCCTTCCTCAAAGGGCCTGAGCAAAGTCCTCTCCTGATACAGCCCAGCAGTCTGTGCCTGGTCTTCATGGGGAAAGGAGGCTATTTGTTTTGGTAGGGGTAAGGTGGGGTAGGGGGCCATGAGGAATTATTGCTTTCTTGTGTTGGGGTGAGTATTCTTTGATGGATGCAATGTTTCAGGCTTGCACACAGAAAGAGTTCTAGAGATGGATTGGGTGTGGGAAATAATGATCCTCACTTAATAATAAGAATACTGGAGTTTGGAAAACACATCGGATTATTTTACAACTTTGCTAAGATGGGCATGAGCCCAGAGAAAAGGAAGAAATTGGGTGGCCTTTGGATTTAGTGTAAAACAGTAGTTTTAAGTACTCTTCAACTCTAGGCTGAATGAAGTAAGAGCGCCTAGGCAAGCAGGTGCCACCTGGCAGCTGGTGGACAAAGGGTCTCCTGTTTCTCTGTGATTCCCAAAGGAACTCTGAACTCGGTTCCTGCTGAGAATGGACCACAGTGAGGTATGTCCTACCGCAGTTATCATGCTTAAATGTGAGTGTGCTTAGCATCACCGAACTACACACTTTTAAATGCTTACAAATTGGGCTGTATATATTTTATTACTTTGGGGGGGTTGTTTTGAGACAGGGTTTCTTTGTATTGCACTGGCTGTCCTGGAACTCATTCTGTACAACAAGCTGGCCTCGAACTCACACAGATCCATCTGCTTCTGCCTCTGAGTGCTGGGATTAAAGGATGTGCCGGTTTATCATGATATTTTTAATCAGGGAGAAAAGTTAACAAGATAAAGAAAACTTGACTACAAAACCCTTGTAGAAAACCATTAGCAGCTGTTGTGGTTTGCATGTGAAATGTTTCAAGATACTCTTGTGTTTGAATACTTGGTCACCAGATGATGCATTGCTTTGGAAGGTCACGGAGCCTTGCAAGGGAGGTCACAGGGCAAGTGGAGGTGGGACCTGAGGTTTTATAGTCCAGACCCACTTTGTGACAGTCTCTGCTTTCTGACAGACAATGTTATCAGCTACCTCATACAGACTGTAAGCCAAACAAGCCCATCTTCCCGTATATTGCTTTTCCTCAGTGTTTCGCCACAATAACAGGAAAAGTAACAACTATCAAAGATTATTTGGGAAAAGGAGGTTTGAAGTGCCACTGTTAGAAATCATCAAACAGTAACGAAGTAGACACTAATGTTAGTTATTGGTCATAAAGCAAGAATGAGCATCACAAAGAGGGAATTGACTAGGAGGGGGGCTGTGTGTGTGTGTGTGTTCATGTGTGTGTGTGTGTGTGTGTGTGTGTGTGTGTGTGTGTGCGTGCGTGCGTGCGTGCGTGTGTGTGTGTGTGTGTGTGTGTGTGTGTGTGTGTGCGTGTTCATGTGTGTGTGGTAACAAATCTCTTTGTGTGCCAGGCACGGTGGTCCACGCCTTTAATCATAGCATTCAGGAAGAGGGGTAGTGGATCTCTGAGATCGGAGGCCAGCCTGATCTATATAATGAGTTTCAGGAAAACCAGAGGCCTTGTTTCAGAAAAGAAGGAGGAAGGAAGGAAGGAAGGAAGGAAGGAAGGAAGGAAGGAAGGAAGGAAGGAAGGGTTTCTACTACTGGATTGATCTATCTCTGGGTATCCATGAAACCAGAGAACATTAAATAACTAAGTGAAAACAGTTACTAATCACATAATAGCAATTAGTAATTACTTAGTACTGTGAAAGCATGAGCTCTTTGGGGATTCCGGCCCCAGGGTGCAGAGGCAGTCTGGTAGAACTTCTCAGGAGAGGACATTTAACTCGAGCCTTGAAGGCTGAGCTTGTATTACCTCAGCCCCCCTCAGCATTTCCTTGCTTAGCTAGTCTTCTCAGATCTCTTGCTTTCACAAACCACCTGGGCCCTGATTACACTTTACTTCTAAGTCTCTGAGAAACAGCCCACGAAGAGAGCCTGGGTGATCCTGATTGCCACCTCCTTCCACACACAGAAAGAAACTCCCGAAGGGAACAGGCTTGATTTTTCCTGGCTGGCACTCAGATTTACCGTCCTGCCTCTTGTACTTTCAGCAACTGAAGCATCCCAACCTCGTCAACCTCCTGGAGGTCTTCCGGCGGAAGCGGAGGCTTCACCTGGTCCTCGAGTACTGCGACCACACAGTGCTTCACGAGCTGGATAGATACCAGAGGGGGTGAGTGGCCCATCCCTTCCCACAGAAACAGGCAAAGCAAAGCTCACAAGGATTCGTGGGGGCGGGGGAGCACCTGCGGGGACTTTTTTTTTAAGGCTATGTAAGCAGCGGTGCACGGTGGTTCATGTGTGTAACTGGGACGAAACAAGACAAACTGACAGGTTGAGGCCACCCTGAGCCATAAACCCAGCCTCCAAAACAAACGAACAAAAACTGAACAACAACAATAGTAAACAATAAATTAAAAAACAAATAAACAACAACAACAACAAAAAAACCAAGCAAACAAAAAGGAATGGTCACCACATCTCTGGTGCTGGGTTAACAGCTGAGAAATTTCAAAAACAAAAACAAAAACAAAAAACTGTTGTGAAGTTATGATGTCATTTCCATGAAGAACCCATGAGTAACATATAACACATGAGACAAACCTTGGTTTCCCTGGCTCACATCTCTGCATTGATGTTGTGGCAGCCTCAGAAAGAAGTAGGAAGAGGATAGTAGAAACTTTGTGTCCAGCTAGGGAAGTAAAGTGGCTTGGACTTCAGAAGACAGCATGTCTAAAGTATGGTGACACACACCTATGATTCCAGCTCTTGGGAAGTTGAGGCAGGAGGATCACCAGTTGGATACCAGCCTGGGCTACAGAACAAGACTCTGCCTCAAAATACATCCATCCAACCATGCATCCATCCATGCATCCATCCATGCATACATACATACATACATGCATACATGCATACGATCACACTTGCATGCGCGAATAAGTAATAAGAAAAAAGTACAAGAGTATTGGCTAAGAGGAAGTTTAAGGCTAGAAGAAACCTAAAGCAATCTAAGTATTTGACTTGCTGCAATAGCCAGGACTCCATTGGTATAAGTGGCAGACACTCAGCTGGAGGTGAGTGCCAGCAGAGAGCACAGACGTTGGCGGCTGTAACTGGAAGCATGGGAGTGACTGGTGCGTGTGTGACACAGGATAGAAAGAACTGGGAAAGGACACGTGCAGGCTCGATCATGGCCACAGAGTATGTAAGCACACAGTGTTTCCAGAAGGGCATTTCTGGAAGAGGAAACTGACGTAAAATCACTGGATTTCTGATTGGCCAGCCAGAGTGACGCAACTATCCCGGGAGCCATCCGCAGTGGCTGAAAGGAGAGAAAAACTATTAGTAAGTCATAGGATTATAATTTAAAATGACTCAAGATCAAAAAGGGCTTTATGGTGTAGGTGACATTCAGTTCAAAATGGAATTTAGAGAAGGTGATATGGGAAGAATACCCCATTCTCTTCTGTAATCCATTTCTGGGAGTGGGGTGTCCACCTTTGGCTGAGGAAATACGGAGAGTGCCTGGGAGGTCAGAGTTGTGAAATGGTGGACTGACCTCGGCTCATGCCCTCACTCCAGTGGCCAGAGGATGAGACTTCTCACAACGTCTTCTCAGCTTTGCCCGGGAGCTTATTCTCCTGTGATGTTGGTTATATGGGATCTGCCATGGCCTCCTGGTAAATGAGATTAAAGTGGCTTGTGGCTAGCTAACATCCCTGAAGTATGTTTTTCATGTTCCAGAATGTTAGAGCCAAGAAGACAGGCACCACCCTTCAGAAATGACGCATTAAAACAACAGAATGTTCCCTGTGTTGATATTTGCTCTTTCAGCAGCTTGCAAGTAACCCTCCATGAAACTTTACTAGTGTAGTTGCTCCAGCTCTATTGTATGGTATAATGGAGACCCTGCAGGGAATTCGTGGCTGGCCTGTTGTCCTCTGTTCTTATACCATAACCAACACAGATGCTTTCTGAAATCCCAAATGTCATATAATCCCTCCATGTAACAAGCAAGTCTGTAACTGTGCACCGGAAGGTAGCTTAGTGGGTGTCCCCTAATCTAATCCAGTACTTTCACTATCTACACAAGGATAGCAACAAGTCCCTCATGTCCATGACTGAACCATCCAAGATTGCCTGACCCCCTTAGATGCCACAGCCAAGGTTATTATACCTTTGCTTCTGACCAACTGCCTGAATCTGGGTGCCTATGACCTACCTCATCCTTGGATTTGAGTCATTTGCTCTAGCAATAAACAGAACCCTGGGAAACATTTACTCACATTTTCTGCTTTATTAAAAAAAAATCAGGGGGGGTTGTGGGGGGAGGGCACGGGAGGAGGGAAGGGAATGAGAGAGGGACCTGGAACTGACTTGTGAAGCAATCTCGTTTCTTATCTAAATTCAAACTGGAAAAAAAATGCAATAAATGATTTATTGTCAGAAAAAAAATCAAAGGATACAGATGAAAAGACATATAGGGTAAAGTATGAGAGAAGGTGTATGGAATCCACGCCCTATGTAGATATTCTACTCTCTAGGAAGACCCACAAGTTGGTTCTCTGCAGATTTTGCAAACCCCGTCCTTTTGGATGCCTATGGGGACTCCACGGAGTAGTCATGGTTGCTAAGTGACTACATAGGGAACTCAGCAAGACCTGTCTTTTGAGATTCTTCTTGGCTTATCTGTGATACATTCATTCCTCCAGAATATGGGACAGGGCCCCTGGGGATGAGGAGGGCCAGGGACTGATAAGATGCTTTCTTCGTGACCATCTATCTCTAAGACAGAAATAGGGTGGGCACGTGTATGAGTTTGTATGACCTCTGAACCAAGTAAGGTAGATAAAAATCTGCAGATAGTTGGAGACAGAGAAGTGTGTGTGTGTGTGTGTGTGTGTGTGTGTGTCTGTGTGTGTGTGTGTGTGTGTGTGTGTCTGTGTCTGTGTCTGTATGTGTGTCTGTGTTTGTAGAGTGTAGACTTTCCCACCATCCGCCTGGGCCCTGCCACAGTTGCAGTCCCCAAATAACACACAAGACACTATATTACTATGAAGCTGTTGGCCATTTGCTTGGTTTCTTACTGGCTATCTCTGACTTAAGTATTTACCCCATAATTGTTAATCTAAGTATTTCTCTTACCGGAGAAAAGGGCCAGGACCTCTTACTCCTCTGGCGGGTTACATTGTGTCTACCTGTGTCTCTCTCTTTCCCAGAATCCTACTCAACTCCTGGTCCCACCTATCTTGCTTCCCTATTGGCCAACAGTGCTTTATTGACATATACACAGGACTTCCCTATCATGTGTTAAACTTTTTGACATGGTGACAAATGTCTGAGAGAAACACTTGTTTAGGAGGAAAGACTTATTTGGACTCGTGATTTCAGAGGCTTTGGTTCATGGTTGGCTGGCTCTGTGGCGTGGAGCCTGAAGCGATATATAATACCATGATGGGCAGGCTGGGACAGGGCAAAGCTGCTTGCCTCATGACAACCAGGAAACGAGAGGAGTAACGGGAGGGGTCAACATTTACCCTTCGAGCCGTGCCCCCGTGACTTCCTTCAACTGAGGCCCCATTCTCTATAGTTCCACCCTCCCCCAACAGTGTATTCAAATTTTGAACCCATTGGTTAATGAAGCCACCCCTTATATGAGAGCCCTTGTGACCTAGCTGTCAATGGAAAGGCCCTCATTGACAGAGCCAGAGGCATGCCTCACTAATTTTCTAACACCCCTCCATACAGTCAAGTCACACTCAAATTTACCATCACAGCAGAGAGGGGTTGGAAGAGGAGAGAAAGAAAACGTTAACTATAGTAACTGCCGGCCTTGTTAAATTTGATTAAAGACATTTTACCTCCTGAGAAGGCTCTCTCCAGAAGTGGGTGTGGATGCAGCCAAACTTTCTCAGTGTAGCGACAAAAACAGATTGCCTGTTTTCCCTCACCCCAATTCTTGGTTCCTCATAAAGATTACAAACTGATTTTTTTTTTTACAAATCACCTGGCATTAAGCCAGTAGACAAGACTTATACATAAATGAGAGAGTTGCTACTCTGGTTTTATGCATCGTGCTGGGTCACCTGTTTAGCGTTCACCTTGTCGGAGTGCAATGGGTTCTATCCGGGTATGCTGACCAAGCCCCATGTCTGGAGAGCTGAAGATCATGACCACAGTGGCCAACTTGCCAGCTGTTTTGCAGAGAAAGCACTGCCTGCCCTGTGTTCTGAGACGAGTTCTCTGCTTTGCTAAGATGCTTTCACACCTGTTTTATATACATTGGAATATAATCTTTAGACCTATTAATATATGTCATTACATTAAGTTACATTTCTTTTAGCCATTCCTCCATTGCTGACTATTCAAAAAGTTTTCAGCATTTGGTCTGATAAATAATTCTACTATAAATTTTTTTCTACAAATAGATTTTTTTCTTTACTTTCCCCTTAGAAGTTCTCAAACTAGGACTCCCTGGCATATATTTCCCAAACTGAACAAATGTGCTTTACCACCCAAGATGTGAGCTGATACATATTTTCCTTATAATCATACTAACTCCATTTCTATTATTAAAATATTTTATGTGTGAAGTATATCAAAAATATAAAGAAGGGATAACAGCAATTCTATCTAAACTCTTCAAGAAAACTTAGAAGAAACGTTTCCCACATCATTTTCTGAGTCTACTCCATTCTGATGTAAAAACCAGATAAAGGTGTTTCAAATCAAGAAAATGATGAGCGTTTCTCATGGACTCAGGTGAAAAACTCCTACTAGAATTATTAGCAGATAATGTAATGTAAAAAGTGGTATATTGATATTTCCGAAAATTTTTAGATATTGTAGGCTGCCTGTTTTTAAACTTAATTTATTTTATGTGTATGAGCATCTTTCTTGCATGTACATCTGTGTGCTGTATGAATGCCTGGTGTCCTCAGGAGGCAGAAGAGGTGGCCCATCTCCTGGAACTGGAGCTATGGATGGTTGTATGCCATTGTGTGGGTGCTGAGAACTGCACCTGGGACCTCTGTAAGAACAACAAGTGTTCTTAACCTCTGAGCCATCTTTCTAGGCCCTGTAGATGAAGATTAAGTTCTCTTTTTTTTTTTTTTTTTTTTTTTTTTGTTTTTCGAGACAAGGTTTCTCTGTGGCTTTGGAGGCTGTCTTGGAACTAGCTCTTGTAGACCAGGCTGGCCTCGAACTCACAGAGATCCGCCTGCCTCTGTCTCCCAAGTGCTGGGATCAAAGGTATGCGCCACCAACGCCCGGCAAGATTAAGTTCTCTTAAGTCATTATCCCCTCTGCTTCCCTACCCAATCTTCCAAATACTTAAATTATTAATTTAATATTAACTAATATCAAATTATATATGAGAATTATACCATACCATAATTTCATATTGTTTTTTATTATCATTTTTTATTTTAATTTTAAATAGCTTGTTTTACATGTCAATCCCAGTTCCCTCTCCCTCCCCTCCTCCCACACTCCCCTTCCCCCCAACCCTCCCACCCTATTGCCAAATCCTTCCACATAGGGGATATCTAGAGTCTGTCATTTCACTCTGGGTAGGGTCCAGGCACTCCCCTAAGAGTCCAGGCTGAGAGAGCATCCCTCTTTGTGCTATAGGCACACGATGACTGTTTGTATTCCAGGGATAGACCATAATTTCATATTGTAATTCTGTTGTTTTTCAAGACAGGGTCTCACTGTATAGCTTTGGTTGTCTTGGAACTCACTATATAATAAACCAGGCTGGCCTTGAACTCACAGAGATCCACCTGCTTCTGCCCCTCACTGTGCTGGCTTTCTTAGTGTGTTTTTCCTCAAATTGATATCTGCTTTTCCCTTTAAATTTTCTTAGCATCCCTCCCATGCTATTGATAATTCCCCTTATTTTTAAAATAACCTCTATGCTTTTAGGGTGAACACTCACAGCTGATTCCACTAGTTCCTATCATTTATTCATTATTTCTGGGTGGCACCCTACCTTTAGTGCCCAGCTGCTCTCCTAGGACTCCCTTTTGCTGCTCTTTTGCAGTTCCCCCTGAATTTCTCTGCAGTTGAATTCCTTACTTCCTGAGTTTCCTGTCTTCCCTTTTCTGGCTTTATTTAACCATTTTTTCCAGCACATCTATCTCTAAATATAGTAATAATCACTCAGAAATCGAGACCAGATATTCCCAACGATCCCTACCACCACCACCTCAACACCCCCTTGGAGTGAAGCAGGTAGGAGTTCTTTGTGTTTCTGGGGTTAAACAAGCTTCCCAAAGCAAGAGGAAGGAGTACAGCGCTGCTGGGCTCCCAGCGCTTGGGAGGCAGAGGCAGGAGGATCTCTGAGTTTGAGGCCAGCCTGGTCTACAGAGTGAGTTCCAGATCAGCCAGGGCTGTACGGTGAAACAATGTTTAAGAACAGCAACAAAAAAGAACACAATGCAGTCACACTGGAAGGAGAACTGGGGGTGTGGCTCTCTTTCTTCTACACTCCTCCATGTCTCTCTCTCTTCTACACTCCTCCATGTCTCTCTCTCTTCTACACTCCTCCATGTCTCTCTCTCTTCTACACTCCTCCGTGGCTCTCTCTCTTCTACACTCCTCCATGTCTCTCTCTCTTCTACACTCCTCCATGTCTCTCTCTCTTCTACACTCCTCCGTGGCTCTCTCTCTTCTACACTCCTCCATGTCTCTCTCTTCTACACTCCTCCGTGTCTCTCTCTCGTCTACACTCCTCCATGTCTCTCTCTCTTCTACACTCCTCCGTGGTCCTCTCTCTTCTACACTCCTCCGTGGTCTCTCTCTTCTACACTCCTCCGTGGCCTCTCTCGTCTACACTCCTCCGTGTCTCTCTCTCTTCTACACTCCTCCATGTCTCTCTCTTCTACACTCCTCCGTGGCTCTCTCTTCTACACTCCTCCATGGCTCTCTCTCTTCTACACTCCTCCATGGCTCTCTCTCTTCTACACTCCTCCATGGCAGACAGATTCCAGTTCACCCTCCCACCCTCTCCGGAAAGAAGAGCTCCATCCGGAGCTGGCCACTTTGTAGTTTTGTACAGTTTCTACACTGAGAAGTGCATGATAGTGTGCTCAGTATTACAGGAATATTAATGATATAATATTATAAATCACTTCTCAACACTCCTTTTGCATTATTTATTTTGGGAAATATCTTTGGAGACTAAAGTTTCTTGGCACTTACAGCTTCATGTCAAAAAGTCATTGAATAAACACAATACATTTTTTCTGAACAAGAGATGAATGCTGGGGAGTCTTTGAAGTCCATTCTTATTTGTATTTTTCTAGGCCAATTTTTCTGATAGGTGAGTTTTCCTGGTGTTTATGTCTACATGTCGCTAGAACAAGGAAGAGGATTTGGTGACAAGCTCCCTCAAGCCTGAAAACAATCCTAATCCAAAAACGTCCTGGCCATTCTTCCTGGAGGTGGCTTCCTCATTTCCGGCACACTGTCCCTGTGTCTATTCAAGCATCCTTTGATTTGCCTGAAAGGATTTCCTGCACATCTGGTCCATGACAGCAGTGGCCTTGTGGCCTCTCCCAGGGGCTAGAAGTGACTTTGTGTGATCACCTCTAATGCTACGTGCATTTCCTCCCTGGTCTATGTAGCAGTTTTGGTCAAGGGCCACCACAACATTTAATTTTTGATTCATAAAAAAAGATAAGTCCAGCATGTGTGTGTCCGGGAGCGGTCCCCCAAAATAAGCAACTCTCTTTCTAATCACACCTTGTTCCATACTTGAAGTGCTTCTTTCCTGAGGAGATGCCTTTTTCCAGCTCACACGTAGCATCTGTCGGGGCTCCAGGCCTCTAAGGTTAAGTCAGGCATGAGTCAGTGAGGAAGAAACGGGGAAAGTAGCAGGGTTAGTGTTGTGATAGAGGGAAGAGCAGTGTGATGTGAGGGCCAATGCCGAGTGGGGAAGGGAACCCGATACTACCTGTGTTTTTAATTATTTTGAACTTTAGTTGTATGGTATGCCACATAAACCTCTTCCTTGTCTCAGGGAAATCTCACTCTTTCAAAGAAAGCAAACGAAGCAGGTAACTCGGGCATCTGGAGGTGCTGCACACACAAGAAGTCTTGCTTCAGGACCCAGGACCATCATCTAGAGCACCCTGAGCAAAGACACAACATTGTCTTTTGTGCTGTATATAACTAGCTTTACATTAGCAAGGCCCTCGTTACAGAAATGGGACTTCGTGGCCCATGCCTGTAATCCCAGCACTTGGAGGCTAATACAGATGAGCTGGAGTTTTAGGTCAGTCAGGACCACCATAGCAAAGACCATGCCTCAACCCTCTCTTAAAAAAAAAAGAGGAAGGAAGGAAGAAACTGAGGAGTTCAAGTTACAGGCAATCCCAGAACATAAATACTTGTGGAAATCCCTGTGGATTTTCATGATTCTTCTCTGTAAAAAATCCATGTTTGTATTTTTGTTAACTTGATTTCCTTAAATTCCAGCAGTGTGCTGGCCACACATTGTTAACACTCCAGACTTGTGGACTGAAAGGGTTCTATGTCTCAAGAGGATTCTGTCTCCTGGGATTTTTCAGTCCCAAAGCCTGCCCTGGATTGGATTGGGTTTCTTGAGCTGAATTCCATGGCTTGAGTGAAAAATGTGTTTGTGCTGTTTTTGTTTTTATTAGGGTACCAGAACATCTCATGAAGAGCATAATTTGGCAGACACTGCAGGCTGTAAATTTCTGCCATAAACACAACGTAAGTCTCATGATCTCCTTTTGGAAACTCAGACGACTTTCCTTAAGCCAAGGCTGAGCCTTGTTCAAAGTTCCTATCACACCTTGATGGGTGTAATTTTTCATAAGCCTGGTCGGGGTAAGAGACTGAAATTCCCAGCTTATCTATCCCTTTGTATGACAAACATTTTAAAAACCATTTAGAGACTGGAAAGATGGCTCAGTGGTCCTCTTCCAGAGTACCCAGGGTTCAATTCCCAGCACCCACGTGGTATCTCACAACTGTCTGTAGCTCCAGTTCCAGGGGATCTGACACCTTCCAGCCAAAGCACATGAAATGAAGTTAAATAAGTAATTTTTTAAAACCACTTAAAGAAACTAGTCATGTTTTCTAAACTTATAAAATGTGAGGTGGGAAGAGCCTCATTTACTCAGAGAGCCCATATTGGATTGGTTTCCCCAAAAGGCTTTGAAATTGGGAGGGGCAACCCCTCACGCCTGGCCAGCTACAGTTGCATGGGTGGAGCCCAAGCCCAATGCACAAGAGTTAGTGTCTGCTTTGGTGAGATAAGAGCAGGCCTCTGGCTCTCCGGCCCAGGCTTCACAGGTGCTGAGAATCTGCTGCCCGCTCCACCACACAGTGCTGTCCACTTCCTGCTGGCCGCAGACTCTCAGCAGGACACACTCGTGTGGTGGAGTGCTAGCCCAGAACGGGTGAGGCCTTGGGTTTGATCCCTAGCACTGCAATCAGTGGACTTTCTGATTAGTCAATATAGCAAGAAGGAAAAAAAAAAAATACATCAGATTCCAATAGCTAAAAAACACACAAAATCCCCGATAGTAATTTCAGAGTTCCATTCTAGCCGTGGGCACAATCCGACCGTAGCCATCTGTCATCTCAACTGTCAGGTCGCCGGGCGTGAGGGGTTAAGTCCCCTGAGTCTGACCAAGTTAGCTTCTTCTGAAGCTTTTCAAGGAGAAAAAATGAGAACAGCTATTATCTTGCTTTCGTTAGCTGAAGCCTAGAATCTCTGTCAGAGCTGGGGTGGAACTCCGTGGTCTAGAATGCATGAGGCCTGGCTTTGACGCCTAACACTGGGTGGGGGGGGGGGCGCCATTTTACAACAGAAAGCATGGACTCTCCACATGGCTAGTCAGTGTGCCTGGTGGTTAGCGCTCTCCTAACAGTCAAGTTTCAGCTTGGGGGTGGCAGAGGAAGAGTGAGGGAGGGGCAGACAGACAGAGGGAAGGGGGAGGAGGGGTAAGAGAGAAAGAAAAAGGCCAGCCCTGGTGGGGAAGATCTGAGGAAGTGAGGATGAATAGAATGCATACCACAGCTCTCTGGAGAGCCCAGACTCTGTCTTTGGGCTGGGGGAGGGTGAGCTAAGGGGCGGTGCTGCGGTGCTGAGGGGGAGGGCAGAAGCTTGTAAGGAATTCCCAGAGTGAGAGCACATTCTTGGTTTTGAGTCCCCCTGCCCATTTGTCATCATGATATCCACGGAAGGACCTATTTATAGCAATGTGTAAAATGGCTGCCGAAGGACTTCACACCCCAGAGCCATCGATTACTGAGAAGCAGATAGGAAAACTTACCCCTCCCCTGCCCCCCCCCAGCCTCTCCAGACTAAAACTGCTGGTGGGAAAAGACCATGCTGCTCTCTCTCCCCAGCATCCTTTGGAGTGGGAATTGCTGGGCCCCTGAGGAACCTCTGTCCTCTTTCCAGAGCCCAGAAGTCAAGGATAACCCCAAGGGTTTCAGGCGTCAGGCCAGCAGTCTCTTGGGCGGCAGAAAAATCCGACATTTCCCAGCAGAGAGGAAAACTCTTGGAAACGGGGACGATCACAAGGAAGCCCGAGGAATATTTTGTCCCAACTTAACTTTTAAACATAATCGGTGGATAAACGTTGTTGATTAAGCGGTTTATTTTAATTTTTTTATGTCAAAAAATTGTCATTGAATAAGGCGGCCCTGGGAAGTTTCTCAACCGTCCCTCTGGGTAGCTTCGCCCTGTTAAAGAATGTGGCTAGATACCAGGCAATGAGGCTTACCCAGGGCAGGAGCCGCCTGCCTGCCGAGCACTGGCCGCGCTGTGGGACAGAGCTGACATCTAGCGACTCACCCCAAAGGGTGAGGCTGCAGCTTGTTTATCTTGTCAGGACAAATGTCAGAGCAGGAGGGAGATCTCTTGGCAAGCTGAAGCTTCCCACCCAGTCTTCCCAGCTTATCTCAGCAGGTCCAGGGCTTGTCCTGTTTACCCAGCAGGCCGCGTTTCAGTGAACCCTGCTTGTGCACCAGTCTGGAGCGCCTGCCTCAGGCTGTGGGCCTCAGAGCCCTTCAGCCCTCTTCCCTTCCCCTACAGCCAGCAGGTTAAGTAAGGCTCCCAGTTAAAGATGAAGTCCCCTGTTTCAATATACTGTCTGAGATACAGGTACATTATTTGGGCTGGAAGAGTAGGTCAGTGGTGGAGTGCATGGGTAACCCTGGATTGATCCCCAGCACTGAAAAAGCCATTTATCCAAAATTCAAATGTAGCTGGATGTCATACATGTTGTGATTTGCCCCTCTAACTTTGATTTGTCCTGTCTTACTTCTTGGTTTGGGGGCCCTTCAGGAATTTAAAACGATTCTATATGTAGGTGTGGAACTAATTTTAGTCTGTTGTTTTCTTATCCAACAGGCTAATGAAAGATGAAAGTCATGTATCCATTTACTAAATATCCCCGCCCTTTACCCGTGGTAGACATTACAATTGCTCCTTCATGACATTTTCATGTGTTTTCTTCTCACCAGTGCATACATAGAGATGTGAAGCCAGAGAACATTCTCGTCACAAAACACTCAGTCATTAAGCTCTGTGACTTCGGGTTTGCCCGGCTTCTCAGTGAGTACTGACACTGTCTTTGGGGTAAAGGAGACACTCTTGCTAAGACGGCTCATCTGGATACTACAGAATACTGGTTCTTGTGTTCTGCCTAGGGAATAGCCTTGCTATAACTTACAGTTCTTTAGAATTTTGTAATGGGATGTAACTTGAAAGGTGTACAAACCCACAATGGTGTAGATGTGTAGGCTATGTGAACTGTATGCGTACGCTATATGTAAACTGTACCTAATTGTAAGTCATGCTAATCTCCTGATTTCTACCCTCGACTCCCTTCCCCCCTGAACTAACACTTTGCAGAAGTAGTACTTTAGATGGGTGGCTTTTAATCTTGGCTGCAGACTAACACACGAGGAACTTTAAAAACTGTACTGGTAACCTTGGGCCCTCCCCAAGTATTCTGATTAGTTGGGTTTGGATGAGACCAAAGCATCAATAATTTGAGAATCCCTATGGCCAAGTGATTTTAACTAGCAGCTAGCCTTGAGAACACTGACCCTGAAAAGCCATGAGCTTTCTTAAGCATTTCCCTCTCAGTTTGGGTTTCTGGGCTTCCACTCTTCTGTTTTCCATGTTCCTTCACTGGCCAGCCGGACCAGGTGACTACTACACAGACTATGTGGCCACCAGGTGGTACCGCTCGCCTGAGCTGCTGGTGGGGGACACACAGTATGGACCCCCAGTAGATGTTTGGGCGATTGGCTGTGTCTTTGCTGAGCTGCTGTCTGGAGTGCCTCTGTGGCCAGGAAAATCTGACGTGGACCAGCTCTATCTGATAAGGAAAACCCTGGGTAAGTGGTATTTCTGTCCTGATTTTTAGAGAACTGCCTAGCTTTCCCCATGACAGCGCCACAGTCTCAGCTCACTAGACACGGGAGCTTCCGAGCCTCACTGAGGTGACTCCATTAAGAGCGTTCAGGGTTTATTCAAATAACAATGATGAATGGTTCCTGAGGATTTACTAATTATCCAGAAGATAAGGACTTATCTCTTGAGCTTAGGTTGCATTGCCATGGCAACAGAAACCCTGCAAGGTCTTAACTGATAACTGATTTCACTTACAAGCCGAATATTCCCTCATCCAGAGTGCTCGAACTAGAAGTGTTGATGACTTTGGAGATTTCGATGACATGTCTTACATGTCTAAACATGGAATTCACTTGTTTCATTTGCACTTTATTCACGAATCCTGCAGATCATTTTATATAATCATTTTAGTGTGCCCATGTATTGACTGTGACCTGATGTCGAGTATGGAATTTTCTACCTGTGGTATCATGTTGGTGCTTGGTTTCAGATTTTTTAGTTAGGGATGCCAAACCTGTACTGGGATACGGTGATTCATTTAGATGTCCTTGACTGCAGCCTGCCTGACAAGTTTTTGGATTATTCAGATTCCACAGTAGAGGAAGAGCTTGGCCTCCTCAGCATCAAGAAGGAAGGCTGATTTTTCTTGTGCCATTCTTATTTCTATTTTTATTTTTGTCTTGCTTTTCCTCTAGCTTTAAGGGGAATGGTAAGGGCAGAAGAAGAAAGGGAGGGACAGCTAAGAAGTCCATAAGCAATGACTGTTCTTTTCAAAATCTAGGGGGTTAGATTCTACTTACTAGAGTAGAATTAAATTCTACAATTTAAAGTAGAATTTCTCTACTCCAGAATCTTGTGTATCAATGATCTCCATGCAACTTTTTCTTCCCAAAGTACTGAAAGCTGCCTGTGGGTAAGACTGTGGTTCCTACCTCTAATATCTCCACTAACGTCTTGAAGCTCATGCAAGACCACTGAGACTTCCTTGACTGTTTCCCCAGAGGCTTTAAGGCTCTCTCCTCATGTCACTGTAGCCTTGGTGGGAGAGGCTGGGAGGCACGGGGATATATGTCTCCTCTATGCACGTACGTGCAATTAATTTTTCAAGCTAGGATGTAAGCTAAGGGGTTTCATTACAACATTTTCAGACATATGAGTCATCACCCCAGAGACTGTATTTTTGCTTGCTTGTCTACAATAGAGAAAGGTTCTAGATTTGAGTGAGAGGTAAAGTTGTAAATCGAGTGACCCTGTACAATTTTAGCCCTGGTTAGCTAAGAGCTGGGGCCAATTCTGTGACAGCACCATAGGCTCTAGGCTAGGGGCCTTTGTTTCCTTTCTGCCTTAGAAAATGGTTATTTGTGCCCCAGGGAGGCATCACCTCATTCTATTTTCCCAAGAGAAGTCTATCACAGTAACATCCCTAGGACTTGCATGAAGACATTGCCAGCTCATTTGGCTGCCATGGCTACATAATGAGTGTCATTTAACAGGAATCTAGAAACTCTGTTTCAGTGTTTGACATGCTTCTAAACAGTAGGTGGCAAAGTTTCCAATTGGTCACCAATGGTGACACAGGAAAAGTCAGTGTCTTACATACAGAAGACCTTCCATTGGCTCATGTGGTTTAGTGTTCGGATACAATGTAAGCTCAAGAGGGCAAGAACCTTGCAGCCTTCAGTTCTGTTCCTGACACACTGTCCCTGTGGAGCCCAGTGGATGCTGTGTGGGTGCCCCTCCTTGTGGAGCCTTAGCAGCTGGAGGCACAGCTCCACACTGCCTACCGTGGAGGGAAGTCACAGCCCCATGTTTCCTATGCAATCCCATTCACTTCCTTCCGTCTCTTCTTGTCCAAAGGGGACCTCATTCCCAGGCACCAGCAAGTGTTTAGCACGAATCAGTACTTCAGTGGGGTGAAAATTCCAGACCCTGAGGATATGGTGAGTACCTCATCCTGGAGGCGGCTCTTTACGTCAGGCTAGCCAGGTTTTGGTAGTTACTCGCTTTCCTGGAGCCCATGGCTCAGCCTGCGTTGAACATTTTGTCTAAGAGTGAGTGACAAAGAACATTGGAGCAAGCTGGTGAGCAGGATCCTGGCCTTGGTTCAAACTTAGAAGGCCCTGGGAGCAGAGGTTAGCCAGCCATGGGCCAGGGAGGCAAAACAGACAGCCCTGGCTGCACAGGTCGCTTTATCGCTGTCATCAGCGGAGCCAATCAGCCTTTAAGCAAACCTAAACAGTGACTCATCTGCTGCCAGCAGCTACTTTTCCCTAGCTTTGTCCTAATTCCCCATTCTGCAGTGTACTTGCTTCCCAGAACATGGAGTAAAACCATAATAACCTACGCTGCTGCTGTATGGTTAATGTGGGGGAACACTCCTTTAAAAAGTACTAAGAAAATCTAAATGCCCAGCCCACTTTTAATAATTCACCCCGGTGAAACCATTAGACAAGGGTATGGAGGTATAGCGTTTACATCATTACCTTTAGTATTTGGTAGGAGAACATGGTCAATAACAGTCACAGGGCTAATAAATACAATTAGTTCTATGTTTATTCATGTGGAAAAGTCTGCAGCAGGTTATTGAGTGGAGAGTGTGGGTATTGAACAGTATAACTTAAAATATTTCTATTAAATGCACACAAAAATGTAAAAAAAAATATGGCAGCCGGGCGTTGGTGGCGCACGCCTTTAATCCCAGCACTCGGGAGGCAGAGGCAGGCGGATCTCTGTGAGTTCGAGGCCAGTCTGGTCTACAGAGCTAGTTCCAGGACAGTCTCCAAAACAATATAGAGAAACCCTGTCTCGAAAAACCAAAAAAAAAAAAAATATATATATATATATATATGGCAACCTCCAGGAAATCATGCGAATTTTCTTTATTTTCTCTTTAAGAGGAGGTCTTATTTTATAGCCCAGGCTAGCTTTGCACTTGTAAAAATGTAATTCTTTATGAATATGGGTGTTTGTGTCTGCATGTGTGTCTGTGCATTGCTTGCACGTCTGGGGCCTGTGCAAACCTCTGGAAGTGGAGTTACAGAGGATCCTAAGCCACCATGTGGGTGCTGGGAATTAAACCACAGGGGGAAAAGCAGCCAGCACACTTAACAGCTCGGCCATTTCTTTAGCCCTGGCTTTGAACTTTTGATTCTCCAACCTCATGATCCTGATTGCTGAGATTACAGGCACATTCTACACAGACTAAGTATGCAAACCTCTTTACATTTGCTAAGTAAATAGTTAGAAAGGGTATCTTTCTCTCTTGTTTTTTTTTTTTTTTCTGTTTTTTTGAGACAGGGTTTCTCTGTGTAACAGCTCTAGCTGGCCTCAAACTCACAGAGATCCACCTGCCCCATCTCCTGAGTGCTGGGATTAAAGGCGTGTGCCACCACCGCCTGGCTTTTTGTTTATTTTTGAGACAGCCCAGACTGGCCTTAAGCTCCTGATTCTTTTGCCTTCACCTTTCAAGTATTGGGATTAAATGTGTGCACGACCATGTCTAATTTACAGTGGGTATCTCTTTGTAGTGAGATTTTTGGGTACTCTTTTCACCCCCCCCCCTTTTTTTTTTTGCAGTTTTGAAATGTCTTCTAATGAATCTGTATTATAGTAAAAAAGTATTTCCTGGCTTGGGGTGAGTGCAGCGCGGTGGTAGAGTGTGCCCGCAGACCCTGTGGCCTCTTAGCACAGCAAAGAAAAGAGTAATGATAAAATTTAAGGGCAATTAAGGGTTGTGAGTGAAGTTTTTCCTGTCCGGCAAAGGTGCTTTCAGCTGGAGGCTAACACTTCCAGGTAGAAGTTCCTCCTGTCCCTTGCAGCTGCCTTCTGTCACCAGCAGTGTCCATCTCCCCACGGCATTGCCAGCCTCGGGAAAGTGGGTCATGCTGGGATGGAGAGGCAAGCGCAGCACCTGGCTAATGAGAAGCCACCCACTGGCTCCCTTGTGACCTGGACATCCCCAGCGCTGCACCAAATATCCCTTAGCAATTTCCTGCCTGCCTGTTTGCTGGCAAAGCTCAGAAACAGCCACGGTTCTATAAATGTGAAGCACCTCTCCTGGGTCCCAGAGGTTGTCCTGCAAGGGATTTCCTGTTGACAGAAACACAGGAAGCAGCAGCACAGGGCTGTGCTGGTTAGACATCTGTGCCCTCTCCCTCTGCAGGGTCAGTAACCCTGCCCAGCAAGGCCTGCCGACTGCTGGGGCTGGGCAACCGGTTCAGCAGGCTGGAGGAACCTGGTGTATTACAGCCAATGCAGGTCGTCCTAGGCATGGTTCCCGAGATAGGAGAGCTGACATTAGCAATGTCAGTTTGCAGCATTGTTTATGTTAGATAAGTTGCGGGGGCAAAAGCTATGCTCTCAAGGACTAACACAAGGGCAAGTTAGGATTTTTTTCCTCTTGGTAAATGGTGGCCCTTCCTTTTTTGGTCATTAGCATGCAATTGAGAATGTGTTGAAGCTAGCTCCCTGTCTAAAATAACACTATGAAGCTTGGATCTACAGCCCCAGGCCCATACACTGATGAAGCTGACAATTGCTCCAGCCCTCGGCTCCCATTACACAGTCACACATGCGATGCACTGTGGACATTGGTTCTGCTCAGCTTCCGTCTTCAATTAGCCTTCTCAGCGAGACACCTCCTTAACTTGCCTATTCAGAGCAGTGTTACTCTCCACCAAGTGAGGGCCATGCACTAGCCTTAACTGGGCGGAGGGAGATGAGAGCCTGCTGGGAGACTCTACACTGGGCAGATAAGAGAAACAGTGTTCACTCCAGAAATCCAATAAGCATTACTTCATCAAGGTAGGGATAAAACGTATTTTGAAATTCCCTTCATACAAATGTCAATAAATGCAATAATTAATGCCCACTTCGATAATGATGCTAATTTAAGTGTCAGAAGTTACTATTGTCAGGAAAGGCAATACAAAGCAAGGAAAAAAGGAGACTAGTAGCGTGGCATGCGTGTGGTTGCTGCTGCTTGTTTCATTTTCTCCCATCCGTGTTTACGTATAATGTTACCTAATTCAGGAAAGAAAGGGAGCGATTAGGAAACAAAACTGGAAAAGCACTTTGGAGGTGATGGGAGAAGAGGCGTATGGATAGTCACAAGGAGGTTATTACTGGTGGGAGGCAGAGTGGGAAGGGGTGGAGGAGGCGAGGAAGATGCCAGGAAGGTCTACTCAAAAGAAATTTAGTGAGGTAGCTATAATTAAAATGTATGCTGTCAATTAAAAGTCCCGTTTCTTTTTGACAGGAAACTCTTGAGTCGAAATTTCCAAACATCTCCTACCCTGCCTTGGGCTTCTTAAAGGTAAAATCATGACTTTTAAGAGACCAGGAAGCACACAGTTGTCAGAATTAAATGTCAATTGATGAAATGCTTCTTTAAAATCCTTCTCCTTTGAAAAACATCAATTTAGGGCTGAAGAGATGGCTCAGTGGTTAAGAGTGGCTCACGACTATCCGGAATTCCAGTTCAGGGAAACTGACAGCCTCACATAGACATACATTCAGGCAAAACACCAATGCACATAAAGCAAGGATAAAAATCATTAAACATGTTCCAGCTCCAGAGATTCTGATGCTCTTCTCTGGCTTCTGCGGGCACTGCACACATGTTGTGCACAGACTGATATGCAGGCAGGCAGTCATACATGTAAATACAAATAAATAAATCTTTAAATAGTCAACTCCTATATACATTTTAAAGTTGATTTACATATATATTTTTAGAAATGCAGCTTATGTAAAATATGGTACAGCAACAATTTTCAATATATAGCCAACTTCTCAATATTTCAAAAAGTAGTCAAAGTTCACTGATGCTATATACATGCATGAAATTGTCAAAGGACAAATTGAGATATTTCTTTGGTGTATATGGCTGTCAGTGATATCTTGAGTATGAGCTCCACGGTCTGCTTGAGAGCAAAAAAGTAGTTAATGATGATGTAATATAAAAGGCCATGCCTTTCCTTGTGGACATACATGCTTGTGATGCACAGACCGTTTCTAGACCTAACTATCAAAAAGGCTGGCAGATTCTAGAAGGGGAATGGAAGAACTAGAGTGGTGGAGACCGACAACTCTATGAACTTCATTTCTACCATGCATGAGCCTGATTCTAGAATAAACACAGCTAAACAAATTACTCCCATTGGCCACTGAGCTGGACTCCAAAATCATGTACTCCCCTGTGGCAGGGCACCAAATGCCTCAAAAACATGAGGAGGAAACCCCCTCCCAACATTTACCCCTTCTATATCCAACGGAGAGTGTTTAGTGTTTCACAGAAAATTTATTTCTCACTGGTGCTCAGGTTAAAAAAAAAAAGGTTGATTTCATACAAGTAGAGAGTGAACTAGTGGTCACCAGAGTCGAGGAAGGGTAGGAAGGAGGAGGATGCAGATGCTGGACAAACGCTGCAAACACAGTCAGGGCCATGTTCTAATGCGCTGCAGCACAGTAACATAAGTTGTTGCATAGAAGAACCAGAGAAGAGTTAAGGCTCCTAACAGAGAAACTGTTTAGGGAAATGGAATTGCTAATTATCTTCACTACACACTTGTGTGCATGTATCTAATTATCACACCACACCCCATACAGTGTCGAAGAGGCTCAGCAGTTAAGAGCACCTGTCCTTGTAGAGGACTTGGGTTTGGTTCCCAGCAACCAAATGATTCCCAACCATGTGTAACCTCAGATCCAGGGGATCCAATGCTCTCTTCTGACCTCTGTGAGCACCAGGCACACAGGATGTGGTGGGTATCCATACATGCAAGCAAAATACTCATGCACAAAGTTTAAGCACCTAGGAAAATTATTTAAAAAATCAAAAATGAATGAATGCGCTCAGTCTTTCAAAGAAGAAAATATAAGTTTTTGCAACTTCAAGAAGTAAAAAGGGATTTTCTACTTTCAGGGTTGCCTCCACATGGACCCTGTTGAGAGGCTGACATGCGAAGAGCTGCTGAAGCATCCATATTTTGACAGCATTCGAGAAGCTGGGGATTTGACAAGACAACATGACAAGTCAGTGAGGAAGACCCTGAGACAGAGTCGAAAGCACCTGACTGGGGTAAAACTGGTGCACTGCTTTACAGAAACATCCAAGGTTACACTTCCAAATGGATCCATGCCTGTTGCCTGGTATTGAGTTGGAATCTAGGTTGACTGACTACTGTGGCTTGCAGCCCCAGAATCCTCAGTCCAGAAGTACCAGGCAACAGGCGTGTGTGCGTGCGTGCGTGCGTGCGTGCGTGCGTGTCTGTGTGTGTGTGTGTGTGTCTGTATGTGTGTAGGCCTCTCACATGTAAGCAAGCAAGTTATTCCTGAGACATACCTCCAGTCCTGTGTGTTTTTCCTTTTTAACATGGGTTCTGTGTGTTTGTTCATGGTGGTGGGAACTTAACCCAAGATCTTGGTTGCTTTTGTGTTTTTGCCTTTTTTTTGGAGGCGGGTCTCCCTACATAACCCAGATTTGTTCCATTGTGATTTTACTGCTTCAGTGCTGGAATTACATTTTGTGTCAACATACCTGGCTTGAGTTGATTTTTAAATATAAATCAAACTTTTGAAAGAAAAGGAAGTAACCAAATTGAAACGCTTCTCTCTCTCTCTCTCTCTCTCTCTCTCTCTCTCTCTCTCTCTCTCAGGTTCTGGATTTTTTAAGGGACCCCCAAAGTGGTTTCTCCTGTGATATATTCTAAATAATAAGGAAACCCACTCCACAGCCTAGTTTTGAACCTGCCTTTGTGTTTTATGTTTTCAGTTGCAGTACCTACCTCAGCTAACTAGCAGCAGCATCCTTCCAGCCTTGGACAATAAGAAGTACCACTGTAGTACCAAGAAACTTAACTACCATTTTCCAAATATTTAAGGAACTGGCAGAGTGATGAAGAAGTGGTCCACAATTTGAAGAAAAAGTGTACACATTTGATTCCTGTATAGAGCACACATCAGGAGAAAACACAAACTGGAAGCTGGAGGCCACTGGGCAAGATATGGAGAGAAATTCCAGATCCAGACTTCCATGCTTGGTGAAGATGTCCAGAGAAGAAATCAAAAGCTTGATTTCACTGTGTTTGAGTATCTAGGCAGCGGAACTACAGACAGGATATAAACTGTATCTCCTGCCGATAGCTGCGACAGTACATGATGGCAAAAGGACTTATGCTTCCGTTTGCTCTGTCACATGTGGGAAGTGAGTTATAAAATGCCCGTATGTGTTTTTTTAGACCTGTGCTGCCTTGGGTCCTATCTCTAATGTTGTTTTCAAATCATATTTAGGTATGATTTTAGTTCCTGAAATCTAAATGTCTGTGATTCTATTTCCTGTTTGCTCTTTCTTGATTTCTGTGTTTTAAGACATATTTTAGAATATCTAAGTTGATTGAAATATCCAAAGTCTTAAAACTTTGTAGTTTTTGTGCGTATATAACAGATGAGATACTTACATATCTCTTACATATACTTTTATCTTTGCCCTAGGAAAGGCTGTGTCAGAAAGGGATAGAACGAGACCCACAGAATGAACCTGGCAGCCTGAAAATAATTATCACTCTATTCTTCAGCTCACTCTCTCACCTGAAAACTTTCTATAAACAAAACTCACATATGATCTGGATTTAGACAGAATTGCTTGTGAACTTTAATTTCAATCAGGAAACATGTAGGTTGTTAACTGATATTTTCTCCTTTAAGTATCTCTTATTACATTATATTATATCATGTATATGTCTGTGAACACACATTCATACACTTGTACATATATAAAGAGCATAATAAATAAGGAAGTGGTAAAAAATACCGAGGATTTTTAGTTTTAAACAGTGAGATTTAAGATTAAAATTATGGCCGGGCGTTGGTGGTGCACGCCTTTAATCCCAGCACTCGGGAGGCAGAGGCAGGCGGATCTCTGTGAGTTCAAGGCCAGCCTGGTCTACAAGAGCTAGTTCCAAGACAGCCTCCAAAACCACAGAGAAACCCTGTCTCGAAAAACCAAAAAAAAAAAAAAAAAAAAAAAAAAAAAAGATTAAAATTACGTAGTAGCAAAGCTTTTCTCCCTGTCCCTTGGACGTGGGCAATGTGAGCCCCATACAGCTTCTCACTACCATTTCTGGTCCATGGGCTGCTAGTTCACAGGAGTTCTCAGAAATGGATTTAAAGATCTATTTTACTGCATCCTCAGAACATTTCTTCTGCACTCTCATTTTCTTCCTGTGTCAATTTCATGACATCCCTTAGCCCCATTCACTTACTGCAATGTAGTTCACTAAATTCTGTCATCTGTTCAATAATCTTGGCTACTGCAAAGCAAATTAAGGCTTCCTAAATATATATAGTTTACTCCACAGATCTGACAGTGGGTTAAAAAAACAACTCCAATATTATTCAGTTCCTTTAAATAGCCATGATTTAAATGACAAGGAAGGATATCAACTTCTGTGAGTAGTTAAAATTGCCCTTTTCCCCTTTAAATCAATAAAAGTGTATTTGAAAGACGCAAATGATTGTAACTGCCTAGTTTATCTAGTAGTTTTAGAAAACTATAGACTAGAAAAGACTCTCCAGATGAAAGCATGATGAATTGGCTGTTGGACCACACAGTACTAAAGCAAACCTGAGATAAAAGGACTTGTCTTTCTCTGGTATAGTCTACTTATTACAGTTAGGCTTATGCTCAATGGAGCCCCTTCTGCAAACCTCTTCTCCCACATGGAATCACCAAACACTGCACAAGACCACTCTACACGTCTTCCTCCTTGTCTTCGTTTTTATTTTCAATTTTTCTCACTTGTAAGTGGTAGGGATATATATGTACATATATATATATATATATAATTTTCATATTCCCACAAATTAGGTGTTTTTCCAGAAGCATAGTTCTAAAAACAGCTAAAGCTCCCATTTCTGCCTAAAAGTTGGACTGCAGAAGTCAAATTTAAATTCAGTAACATGATACCCAACCATACATACAGAAACCTACACATGAATCAGCATATAACTTATAACCATGGAATTACAGCTATTTCAAGTAAAAAATTAAAGACTAGGTTTTATCCCCTTATGACATTCTTTATTAGTGTTTTTCTATATATAAAATTCATTTTCATATTTATATTTTATGTCCCTTGAGTTCATGGGAGGTAGCATTCAAAATATTTGAGGGACAGCAAAATTTAGCTTAACATTTTGTTTGAAGCAGATGGGGAGAAAGGATAGTCTGGTTCCTGATTTGTTTTACCAGCAGAACTAGTTGGCTGTAGACAAGAACCTGTGTTCAGTTTTAGCTAGCAGTAGTCCAAGCTTAAAAGTAGGACAAATTAACGAGCACTTTTCATTCTGAGAAAGGGTATTTTAAAAAGTGTGTACTATGAAGAGCACAGCAATGCAGGAGCTTGAGCAATGCATGCAGCCCTGGGAAGCAGTACAGCACGCTGTTAGCACCACTGACCACTGTGTACAACAGACTCACTCCATCACTGACTCTGTAACTGAGCTCCAGGTTTTCCTACTCCGACATTCACAGCAACATGCTTCAGTGCCTTTAAAGATGTAAGTTACTATAATATCAAAGAGACTATTTGCATTGCAGTTTAAAGAACTCTATGCCAATATCTACACCAAGAAATATCTACAGTATATATGCCAATAAGGAATATATTAGAATTAAAATGTTACATCATATTTTTAAAGTGATTCAATGTACATAATTTTTCACTTCTAACTAAGTAACTTTAGTGAGTCACTTCTGAGTAAATATTTTCTACCTAACACCCACTCTCCATTCCTAAGTCATCTACTCAGGTCTCTCGGTGATTCTGTAGTATTTGTAGCTAGCTATTTAGTATCAGCAATTTCAAATGACCCTGTAAGTGACATCAGACACTTATTTTACATCAGGTTTAATTTCAGTTCTAGAGAAGGCAGTGCCGTCTTAAGGACTTGGGCAAGATTGTCTTTATCTTTTACTCCAGGAAGATCACTTAAGAACAAATACCGGAGGTTCCTGAAAACAGAGAAAAAAACAAAGTCACTGCAGTGTGGTCTTTATGGCTGTAAAAATGAATTCAATTTATATGATGTTTAGGAAAAGTAGCATGTAGAAGGCGTTTACATCACCCCACATCTTCCAAATGGCTTTTAGAGAAGCAGTCTTGGAAGGCTACTTTAAATGAAACTCATGCAAGACTTTAAAATTATCATTTTTCCTTATTTCACTGATATTTCTGAGTCTTTTTATGCCTATATACCTACAAAACATATCTCCTTTGTACATAAATATTAATAATAATGCAAACAAACAAACACCCCCCGGAAGTTCTTAAAGTCATTCAAGTTTCTGCAGAGGAAGAAGCCTTGCCACCCCAGCTAATGTAGAAATAAATGGTTTAGTTCTTTGGTTCTAATGTTTCAAACATCTCAGACTGCTGCAGTACTAAGATTATTGTTATGTATTCTGGTTATTCACTTTATCAGGTTTCTGTTTTGACCACTTACCTAAAATGTCGCAAAGCAATGATGCCGTTGTCTGTAACATTCCCACAGGTAATTAATTCCATTTCAAACAGGCTTTTTCGTAAATTTTCAAATCGACTAAGCCTCTGCAAACAGTTATCGTCAACATAATGACACTTGCATAGTGTTATTTTTTCAACATGCTCTAGGCCCTCTGGGGGGGGAAATGCACAGTTTAAGAATCTGTTTTACTATTACCATGACTAACAGTTCTTGGTTCATGAACAGGACTGTTCCTGGCTTTGACCATCCCATGGAAACTGGTGTTGACCATATGACATATTCATTACACAGCATGCATTGGAAAGAAAGAAACTTTCACATAAGCAGAAGCTGTCTGGATATAATTAGTCTTATGTTACTGAAGGGTTCACAAAGACATAAGTTTGATTATAAGTGAACAAAAGAACACAGAAAGAAGATCATAAGGGAGAAAGTTGTATATCACATGATCTCTATTTACTTTGAAAATAAATACCTAATGCAGGAATAAACAAACAATTTTACTGAAATGGGCAAAAAACATAAACATGACCATGACTATCACAGTGAGCAAACTGTAACAAAACATTCATTGTAAATCACCTGCGTGCCCTAGAAGCAAATGACAGGACTTACCCATGTGATCAAATCCAATGTCCATGATACAAGAATCGGTGGCATCAATTGCTTGAATCTTGTATCTGTCCATGGGGCCTCCCGGGAGGCTGTTGTAGTCCTGTAGCCACTTCTGATGGCCACAGTAGCGTACTTTAGCCCCACACCGAAGTAGCCACTCAGATGCTGCCCTATCAGGGCCAACATCCCTGAGGCGTTCATAATCTATTCTATTGACAAGAAAACAGAAGTAGCTTACTTCCACTGTCACTAGTTTCTTAGCTGTGTTCACCAATATAAATATGGACCAAAAATACATTTTTATTTCAAGTGACTGAGGATTAAGTGTGTTAATGGGATCCATGAAAATAAAAGTTGTAGCTCTTTTTCTTTCTTTTTTCCTTCCTTCCTTTCTTTTTTTTTTTCCTTTAGTTTTACACTCTGGCAAGCTCTAATAAGATATACCAGTGAGGCAGAGTCCCACTGTGCCAGCCAAATTAGCCTTGAACTTGTGATTTTTTTCCCCTTGCCTCCTCAATGGTGAGATTACAGGTACGTGATCTCATACCTGGCATGGTGGTATTTTATTTTATTTGTTGTTCTGGTTCTGGGGCTTAAACCCAGGCCCTCCCAGTATTAGGCAAGCATTCATTTGTTTTATGGAACTTGACAGCAGAGATCCCAATCATAATATAATGACTGTCTGGGAACCATGTTCCATTACTGACAAACCATTAAGGAGAAACCAGGCATGGTAGCACACACTTTTAATCCCAGCACTTGGGAAGCAGAGGCTGCTGGATCTCTATGAGTTCAAAGCTAGCGTGGTCTACATACCAAGTTCCAAGACATCCAGAGCTACAGAGAGACTCTATCTTAAACAAATGATTAAAAAAGGAATAATTTTTAAGCCATTTTCAAATTAGTCTCTTTGTGATATTTACTAATTTCTGCAAATGGCTTTTTCTTTGCAGTCACAATGGTGTTATTAAGTAGTAAGAGTTTGTTATACCTGTTTCAATACAGTACTTCTATGAGTATGCCACATACTAAGTTTTTACTTTTATTTAAATTTTTCTCTATGTAGTCCTGACTGTTCTGGAATTTACTATATAGACCAGAATGGCCTTGAATTCACAGAGATTCTCCTGCTTCTGTCTCTCAAGTGCTGGAATTAAAGGTGTGAGCCACCGCATATAGCCACACTAAGTGTTTAAATACCAGAGTCCTCCCAGTAGGACTCAAAAGGCAATAACAGTCCTCAAGAAGCTAGAGAATGAGTGATTTCAAAGTTACATATACTGTTGAGTATAAAAAGACTAAACATTCATTTTAGGTAACTTGAAGGGTATCAGTAGACGAATAAGAAAAACCCCACTTGAGGCTGGAGAGACGGCTTATTGGGAAAGAGCAATTATTGCTCTTGTAGAGAACCTGGGTTCAGTTCCCAGCACCTACATGGTGGCTCACAACCATCTGTAGCTCCAGCTCCAGGTGATGCTGCCCTTCTAAGTTCTGTGGGCACCAGGTACACACATGGTGCACATTCATACATGCAGGCAACACACATACACAAAGTAAAACAGAAAAAAAACTTTAAAAAGAAAAAATCCACTAACGCACACAAGCAAGTTAATATTTTATAAGTTATTTTTCTGTTTATGTTTTATTTTGTTTGTAAAAATAGGATCATACTATCCATATTGTTCAAAAGAAAAATAATTTGAAACACAAGAAATAACCAACTAGCCAAAGAGCAATTTAGAACCTGTCCAGTAATAAAAATTCCTACATTTCTTCACTTAATTAGAATCACTTACTTATTAAACACTGTATTCAACCATTCCCAGAAGTATCTGGAGTCACATGACCATGAGGTTTTCTTTAAGCTGCAAAGCTGCCTCGAAATTTTTCCGAACACCGTCATTTGATCTAGACACATAAAACAGTACTCTCATGAGCCATCAACCAGAGTCCCACACAGCTAGTGACTTACACCACAGCTCCGTGTCGGTTCTTGTGCCAATAGCTGATATTATTGACCAGTCAGTCACTCCTGTCTCTAAATGAGAGGTTGGGCTAGATGATGTCTAAGGTCCCTTCTAGTTTAAATTTCATTGTTTGAACCTTAATTGTCTGCAGTGTTGTCCCTTAATGTTTATTTTCTGCATAAATATAGATTTTCTCGCCGGGCATTGGTGGCACACGCCTTTAATCCCAGCACTCGGGAGGCAGAGACAGGCGGATCTCTGTGAGTTCGAGGCCAGTCTGGTCTACAGAGTGAGTTCCAGGACAGGCTCCAAAACAATACAGAGAAACCTTGTCTCGAAAAACAAAAACTATATATATATATATTTGCTCAAACCAGCTCTACTTCCAACATACATTTCAAAAACAAAATGACAAATGACAAACTATAGTCCCATAGGGAAATATGTGACAGGGTTACAGTGCTTCTATCCAGGTAGGGAAAGGAAAATAAAAGTAGATCTATTTAGGGAAGAGAAACAGTGGGTCACCAGAGCACAGACAAACCCATGTCAGACAGCTGAGGAGCAATTTCACTTCTCTGACCCTGGGTTTTCTCATTTGTGAAAAGAGGATTTGTTCAGATGGTTTCCAGCCATGAGCCTAAAAAATAATCTTTGATTAAGTCTCAATTGATTTACCTTAATTCAAGTTCTCTAGTAGTGTGCCAGGTGGGAGGGGTGGGGATTGAAAGGAAAGTAAAATGTGGTCTCTGTCTTTGAGGAAATTACAAGTTAATCCAGGATGGATGGCTCAAGTCACCAAGTAGTTAAAATTAATGACAAGACTTGATACAAGCCTTGAAAGAGCTAAAATAAGGACAGAAATGATTCAACAGACAACAAAGCCAGGCACAGTTAGGACAGGCTATAAGCCATGGAGGAAAGTAAGGCATGCTGTAGGTAGTTTGGTTCGTCCATGGAGGTCATGAGGAGTAAGACATTGCACTGCCAGGTCACGAAAGGTCTTGCAGCCAGGATATCTGAACTACATTCTGCAGACAGCAGGGAGTCACTGAGATGTCAGAGCAGAGCACTGGCATCGCAAAGGCTGTGCTCCAGGAAATGTACTCAGACAGCAGCAGCAAGACCAAAGATCAAGTCAGATATGGTGACATGGGCCTATAATCCCAGCTACTTCAGAGGCTGAGGCAAGAGGATCACTTGAGCACAGAAATTTGAGGCTAGCCTGAGCAATATGGCTATAGTCTGCTTCAAAATAAATAAATACAGAATTGTAAAGAAATAGTTAACAAGGGCTTCATAGAAAAGTACTTAGTCACAGGATAGAAAGAAAGGGGCATATGGAGACAAGAGCTAGAAGACTTAAAGATGATACTACACTTTGGTCCTGGATCACTGGTAGGATGGTGATGTCACTTACAGAACCCAATAGCAAGAATGGTTTACTGAGTAAAGTACTTGCCCACAAACATGAGAACTTGAGTTTGGACCTCCAGCATTCTTGTAAAAAGCCCATTTGACAGCATGCACCTATAATCCCAGTGATGGGGAAGTAGAGACAGAAAGACCCCTTCTTGAACAGTAAATCTAGCCTAATTGGTGAGCACGAGGATCAGTGTGAGACCTTCCAGAAACTAAGATGGAAATGTAACAGGGCCTCAGAACTTAACACAACTGACTTCTTTGATGGAAATACCACTCTGGCCATAAAACCCAGCACATAGACCCCACCACTTGCCAAAATGAAAACAAAGACCTAATCCATCAAAGTTTCTAGTTATGGGGAAGTCTCTATACCAAACTTACTGATTGGCTTCTGATGTTTCACTTCTGGCTAGTTGTTCTTTTTAACTGAAGCATGTCAATATAGAACATGGTTTTTGTGCTTAAAAGCTCACCCTGAGAAAGGCTTAGGCTTACACTGGGGTCCCAAACACCCAGTGTAGTCACCAGTCAACTAATAAAGACTTTCTTGGCTTAAACCCATGTCTCTGGTGGATGGCCCACAACAGAAGGATTGAGGACACTCAATGTTGATCCTGACCTCTATATGCAAACACACATATGTGACATTCACACATGAACACATACACACAAAGATAAATGAGCAGAGGGGCAGGGTTGTGAGCTTATTTTTTTCTTTTAGTTTGCATATTCTAAATATGAAGTGTTGGCAGGACTCCTAAGGGAAGTCGACCAACAAAATCTGGAATCAGAGTCACAAAGTGTTAGAGCTGGAAGGAACTTAGGTCAGCTACATGAAACCTCTCATTTAGAGATGAGGAAACTGAAGCCTCAATATTAAGTAACATGCTGACACTCTAAATCCTTTCTGGAACAAGGTGGGGCATTAATAAATGCATGCATTTAAAGGAACTTGCTCAATGTTTCACAGCAATTTGTGTCAGTGTTGCATTTGAACCTAGTACTCTTTCCTACAAGTCAGGGCTCTAGATGATTCTAGAACTCAAAAGAGAGAAGAAAACTTAAAAGATGCCTGCGTGGGAAGTATTTTAGTTGAGGAAATGGTGGGGTGTTGAGGTGGTAAGGTGTGAGCCCTGATGCCAGATTCCATCTTTCTACCAAGGCTGTCTATCACCACAAATCTCTGCCTCTGCTACATCCTGCAGTCTCAACCTTACCAGACATTGTTAAAGCTCTCTCCACCTATGCCCACCCCTAATAACTCCTTTGTTGTCCATTTCATTTACAAATCTGGACTTTCTTATTCAAGCTATTCCCTCTATTAATTCTACCCCCAACCAACCTCATTGGTGAAGATCTTACCCAACTTCTCATTTAAATGCCGTGCCCACCTATTCACTCATTCATAAATGCTCACTAAATGTTTGCTATACTTAGTACAAAACTATAATGAGGCAATGTCCAACAAGAGAGGTACAAAGAAAGGTCCCATAATCCATGGTCTAATGGAGAAGACGGATGACCTGAAGACACAAATACTACCCATGATGGTGCTTGGGGACATGGACTGTGTCCATGTCTAAAGGAGCCCTTTAAAAGGGGGTGAGGGGAAAGATTCATACTAGAGATTTTTTTTTGACATGAGTCTAAAACAGTGACTAAAAGTTTTCAAGCACAGTGTGATGGTGCACTCCTTTAATGCCAGCACTTGGGATGCAGAGGCATGAGATCTCTGTGAGTCCGAGGCCAGCCTGGTCTACATAGTAAGCTCCAGACCACCCAGGACTACATAGTGAGATCCTGTGTCAAAAACTAAGAGAGTTTTCAGTGAGGAAGATCAAGCAGGGAGGGAGCAGGCAGAGCTAAAAGAAGAACAAGGACAACTTATTTCCATTTCCTCAGCGTAAAGCAAAGACTTGCCAGTATCTGTTGGTTAGCAGTCTCCAGTAGCCAGCTACCCATGTGCAAACATCAAGCCGGAGAGGCTGTTACTCAGCAAGTGAACAGCAGGGTCTCTGAGCCCTGAATACTTTTGCTGGAGTTACTTTAGCTCATTTTTAAATCCAGCTTAAATAAGGGTAAGGCCAGTTTTATTTTAGTTATGCTGTCTAAAAACATTAGGTGTTGTCCTTAAACAGAGTTATAGCAAAAATTAAATTTATATCTAGAAATAAAAGCTTAAAAATTCGGTGAGTAGCCGGGCGTTGGTGGCGCACACCTTTAATCCCAGCACTCGAGAGGCAGAGGCAGTCGGATCTCTGTGAGTTCGAGGCCAGCCTGGTCTACAGAGCTAGTTCCAGGACAGCCTCCAAAACAATACAGAGAAATCATGTCTCGAAAAAAAAAAAACAAAAAAAAATTCGGTGAGTTTTTACATTTCCAACTTCAGCTTTGCAGACTGATATCTGAGAAACACTTCCTGCTTGAAACTAAGCAGAGAGCCATGGGGATGCTTTCTACATGGAAAGAGGAGACCTCTTGTGGTGATTTAGTAAATGTGACGCTAATTAAACCAGTTAAAAGCAGATTAGAAAATTGTTGTTATGATGTAATAAATAATCTAGAAACTTAAATTATAAAAAACACACTTCTGTTTGCTATCAGAAGAAGCCATAAGTTTATAAGTGTTTTTAAAATTTGCAATTATGTTCATGAATAAAGGCCAGATCTCTAATGTGTTAACTACACACACACACACACACACACACACACACACACACACACACGAATGAAAGGTAAATTCTTATGTGAAATTAGTGAAAAAGACTGCTGTACAGATCTTCAAATAAGGCAAGCCGAGAATAGCTTGTATATTTTTTCACCCTTCTAAAGTAAGAAGCACATGCTCAAAATCACACACCAGTATAAACAAACGTAGACAAATGGTATGACTACAGGCCAGCTGGCCCACAGAGGTCTACCACAGCTCACCCCGTGTGTAGTATTAAATTGACAATATCCTTCTTGTCGTGTCTTTCTTTCCTCCAATACCAGGAACTACTAGGCCTTGTTCATCCTCGCGCTCTACCACTAAGCTATATCAAATACGCCCAGCAAATCAAATACGCCTTCTACAAACCAAAAACCATTTCTACTGTTCATGAGGCAGAATGGTTAAGACAAAACAGTAACAGCATCTAAGTCTGGTGACAAGGAGGAGAAACTGGACCACCCAAACCCTGCTGGTAGGAATGTAAAGTGGTAAAGTCACTTTGGAAATAGTCTGGTGGTTATCTAAACAAACTCTTATCATATGACCTAGCACTCAGACTCTTGAGCATTTATCCTACAAAAAAGAAAACAGTTTGTATAAAAAGCTGCAAAATAATGTTCGAAACAGCTTTATTCATGAGACAAGAATTGCAGACAACTCAGGTGTCTTGTCTTTCATGGGAATGGTTAATATAATACTATTACAGACATTACAGAAAGCTACTCAGGAGTGCAAGGGATGTATCACAAGGAGCGAAATGGATGATTCTCAAGAGATTATACGTAAGACCAATTCCAAAACTTATGTGCTATATAGTTACAGCTGTACAGCATTTTTATTAAAGGTTTATTGTTTTGTATAATTGTGTGAGCCTGCAGAGGCCAGAACACAAGGCCTTCTGGAACTGAAGTTAGGTGGCCATAAGCCTCCTGATGTAGGTGTTGGTAACTGAACCCTGGACCTATGCAAGAGCATGTGATAACTGTTCTTGGTTGCCAACTTGACTACACCTGGAATTAACTAAAACCCAAGCAGCTGGGCACACCTGGGAGGGACTTTTCTTAGTTAAATCATTGAAGCGGGAAAACTGACTTCTAATACAGCTCTTTTGAGGTGGTAGGGTCCATCTTTAACCTGGGCCACACCTTCTAGTGGCAGCCTGTCTAAAGGATATAAAAGAAGAAAGGTCTTTGCCTCTGTTCTCTCTCTCTCTCTCTCTCTCTCTTTCTCTCTCTCTCTCTCTCTCTCTCTCTCTCTCTCTCTCTCTCTCTCTCTCTCTCTCTCTCTCTCTCACACACACACACACACACACACACATATGGCCATTCCTTGACTGGCGACTGGCACTAGCCTCTATTTCTTCAGGATTCTGGCACATACTGAAGACCAGATTAGACATTCAGCCTTATGAACTAAACAACTACTGGATTATTGGACCTTCCATTGATAGACAGCTATTGAACCACAGCCTTTATGACACATATATATGTGTGAACATATATATTCATATTTGTATATGTGAATATATATTCATTTAATAAGTTCTGCTAGATAACGCTGACTAATACAAGCAGTACATGCTCTTAACCACCAAACCATCTCTCCAGCCCCAAGCCATCTCTTCAGCCCCTGTACAACATTCTTAAAATGACGAAAACTATGGAAGAGAAGAATTGCAGGAGGGCTACCAGGGGAAATTGTGATCATAAAGAACATCTGGAAGGATCCTTGTGATGTAACTATTATCTCGATCATGGTGGTGGGCATAAACCTCTACCTTAGGGATGATAACTTATAGAGCTACACACAGAAACGTAACACTGGGGACATCTGAGGGAATTTGTCAATTGCCAGTGTGATACTGCATTTCAGCTTACAAGATTTCATCCCTGGGGGAGATGGACAAATGGTGAGGTGGCTAATCCAGATTGTCAGCTTGACTGCATGTGACCCTAACCCTGATTCATTCACGCAAAAATTTGGGGAAATTACATGGGGATGACTTTTTAAACTATGGGATAATGGTGGAAGGAACGTAAGATGGGCTCAGGCTAAGGGTATAGATATGGAGCCGCAGAGTGGAGACTCTAGATTTAATGTGGACGTTCACACAGCTTAAAAAAGTCTTAAGCTTGATTGGCTGGCTGGAGAGCAAGATGGCCTACAGAAAAGGTGGCATCTGACATCTTTGGCTTCATGTTGAAGGGATTTTAAGGCTCAGAAGAATTGGAATGCTGGAGTGAGTACATGCAAAACCTAGTTCTTCACAATAGGAGGGTCCAGAAGACATGCCCTTCAATGATCCTAAAAACTCAAGACAATGGGAGTGGCACCAGCACACTGAGGAGTTTTGTTGCTTGCTCTTCTTGTGCCAGACAACACTGAAATAAAGGTGATAGGTTTGAGTCCTGGATGGGGGGGTCAAGATGCAGTATTAAATCACCAGAAGCAAAATGAGTATATTTACTGTAATGGAGACAGAGGCAAAACATCTTTATAGTGGCCTGACCTGTGTGAACTTTTGGTACTGGCAAGAAGCATAAGTTTTTGCTTGATCTACAGAAGCAGAAAATATTGAGAACAAAAGAAAGGAAGGCTACATTGTAGCATAACACTATGGAATCTGGGCACCAACCAATTTCCAGACTAATCCAGTGTAGAGATCCAGAACTCCTTGAATGAAGGAAGGCCAGGTCTCCCTGAGTAAGGACCTTGATCCAAAATCGGGACTTCTAACATTTAGAAAATATTAAAGACTGCAGGACTCTTTTCTAAAATTATGTATTTAAGCCATCTCCTTCCACAAGGAAGAATGGAAGGTCAGTATAACAGTAACCATTTGGTAGAAGGAAAGATGAGTTCAGTGTCCCATATGCTTTTGTGGTCCCCATGCAGAGTAACGGTTCAAACCAGTGCTGTGGCCCCTTGTTGCCTGGGTGTGGGGTCCAGATTTTTTTATGTACTCATCTTCAGAGTCAGTCAGAAATGGATTAACGTAAGGGTTATGGAAGTGGGTATGGCTACCACTGCCCCTGGGAAAGGGCTTGGTCTTGATCCAGAGGTGGGTTAAGCAACCAACTTGGATCTCTAGTGCTCTTCATGTTGCAACTTCAGAAAACACTGAGCATCCTCACTCGTATCCTGGGCAGTGCTATGAAGCAGGTGAGGGCCTTCCACATTTGAGTTGAGCTCTCTTCCAGGGGTTCCATTTGACATGAGCTGTCCCATCCCTTGGCAGGTCTGACCCAGCAGCAGAGATAGATACCAGGATGCCACACTGCTGCAGCTGACACCTGTTGGGGAAGTCCTGTTATTTGCCTGTGCATTTGTCAATAAAGTACTGTCTGGCCAATAGAAAACCTAGATAGGAGGGACTAGGAGTCGAGGAGGATTCTGGGAAGGGGAAACACAAGAGAGTCAACATGTAACGCCATTGGGGGTAGGAAGCCTGGAACTATTCTCCGGTAAGAGACATACTTAGATTAACAATTATGGGGTAATTACTTAAGGCAGAGCTAGCCAGTAAGAGACAAGCAAGGCCAACAGCTTCATAATTAATATAGCCTTCTGTGTGTTTATTTGGGACTCATGCGGATCTAGAACCAGGCGGGCGGGAAGGCTCCTCTCAAAGAAAAAGCTTCTCTTAACAGACACCATCTCATATCTACTGACCATGGGACTTTTAAGTTATACTTATGTGGCTGGAGAGATGTTCTGCTGTTAAGAGCACCGGTTTGATTCCTAGAACCCACATACCAGCTGACAAGTCCTTGAAACTCCAGTTCCAGGGGACCCAGTGCCCTCTTCTGACCTCCCTGGGTACTACACACTCACATGATACACAAACATACATACAGCGAAACACCCCACACATAAAAGTTATACATGTTTTATGCTGTGATATAAATATAACATGGTGGGCTGGAGAGATGGCTTAGAGGTTCAGAACACTGGCTGCTCTTCCAGAGTCCTGAGTTCAATTCCCAGCAACTACATGGTGGCTCCCAACCATCCATAATGAGATCTGGTGCCCTCTTCTAGTGTGCAGGCAAACACGCAGACAGAACATTGTATACATAATAAATAAATCTTAAATAGTAACATGGCATCTTGGGAACAAATAAGAAAGGGAAGTTTATGGCTTAATAGTGATGTGTTTGTGTCAAGTTGACAAGAGACCATTGTCTTAGTTTTTGGTCAAATTGACACTAGCGAGAGTCATCTAAGGAGAGGGAATTTCAGTTGAGAAAATTCCTCCATATGACAGAGTGTGGGGCATTTTCTTGATTGATGATGTGGAAGGGCCAAGCCCACTGTGAGTGGTACCATCCCTGGTCAGGTGGTTGTGAAATACACAAGAAATGAAACTGAACAAGCCAGTAAGCAGCACTCCTCTCCTTCAGTTCCTGCTCCTCACAGTGGACTATAAGCTGTAAGATAAAATAAATCCTTTCTTCTAAGTTGCTTTTGGCCATAGTGCTTATCACAGCGATGAAAAGCTAACTAGGTCACATGGGAGCCCTATTATTTCTTACAACTGTGATGGGGAATGTCCTCCTGTGTGCTGTGAATACGTTTCTTGAATTGGTTGATGAATAAAGCTGTTTTGGCCAATGAACAAGCAGGATGTAGCCAGGCAGGAAGTATAGGTGGGGATACCAGATGAGGAGGATTTGGGGAAGAGGAACTCGGAGAGTGAGTCATGAGGGAGATGCCATGTAGCTACTGGGAAAATAGGACACCTGGGCATTCTCTGGTAAGCCAAGACCATGTGGAGATACATAGATTAACAGAAATAGGTTAATAATTAAGAGAGAGCTAGCCAATAAGAAACCTGAGACAATGGCCTCTGTGTGTTTATTTGGGACTAAAAGGTTGTGGGACCAGGCAGAACAGAAAATTCTGTCTTCACAACTGCATGAGAACCTATAATTACCACAAATAATGCACTGAATTTAAAATACAACTGTGGTGGTTGAAAGAAAATGGCCCTCAAAGGAAGTGGCACTATTAGGAAGCCTGACCTTGTTGGAGGAAGTGTGTCACTGTGGAGGCGGTCTTTGAGGTTTTACATATGCTCAATATACAGCCCAGTGTCTAAGTCTATTCCCTATTGCCTGCATATCAAGATGTAGCCAACACCATGTCTGCCTGCAGGATGCCAGGCTCCTGGTCATAATGAACTGAACCTCTGAAAATGTAAGCCATCTCAATTAATTGTTTCCCTTTATAAGAGTTGCCATGGCCATGGTGTCTCTTCACAGCAATAGAGACCTTTACTAAGACACCAAGTATCCATACTATTCACCTGTGATGGAATAAACATCGAACACTGTTTCTTCCCCACCAATGAAACAAATTGTCTAGTACTGTTCATATCATAAACCATTCAAACATAATGAAAAGCTAGTGCTTTGCTGAGTTCAACATCTGATGAATATTCTCATATGCACCATGGTCTGTCTGCTCAGTGGCACTAGTAAACAGAAGTGTGTCTGACGTGGAGGTGATAAGATTTCTCCATGCCTAAGCTACCTACTGACTGACCAACATTCAAACCAAGACCTTCCAGCAATAGTTCCATCATTCTGTTTTGGTCCTGTTATGCTGTTCTAACTCTAAAAGAACTAGCATCAAGCAGAGAATAGGAATTAGCGGGCATGGTGTTACAATGGTGTACATTTTTACGAGTTACAAGGTCCTTAGGTGATTACATAGCTCTCATTTTACAGTAGAGGAAACACGAATAAAGTAACCTGTTCCATGAGTGGCTGTTCTAAGACATGAATTTTTAAAACCGAGTCTTGGTCCAGTGATTAAGACAGAGTTGGGGCTCCATGGTTAAAACTGCTAACTGGTCTTGCCTCAGGACTTTTTGGTTCCCAGCACCCACTTGGTGGCTCACAATCACCTAAAACTTCCAGTTCCAGAGGATCTTTACTCCCTTTTCTGGTCTCTGCGGGCTCCTGCGCACACAAACTCATGAAGACACACACACACACACACACACACTCACAAATAAGGAGGAGGAGAAGAAGAGGAAGAGAAGAAGAAGAAAAAGAGGAGGAGGAGGAGGAGGAGGAGGAGGAGGAGGAGGAGGAGGAGGAGGAGGAGGAGGAGGAGGCACTGAATGATGAGAGGGACGGAGCTCTTGTCTACTTTCACCAGCACCTAGCTAGCTCAAGGCCGGATATTTACAAGCCAAGTCAGTAGTCGAATGAAAGATACAATCAGGAGCCCCACGAAGGGCCTAGAAGCCTCCGGCGCGGTGCAGAACCGCAGGAGGTGGCTCAGCTGCCAGTCCCTAGCTCCCGGACCAGGGCGTCGCCAACGACCAGGAGACATGGCCGAAGGAGAGGCCGCGGCAGTCAGGGGTCACCCCGCCACTCACAGCGTCTCTGGCGGGCCTAGCGCAGGCGTCCAGTAGAGCCAGCACCCGCCGAGGCCCGGGAGAGCGGAACCACCACCCGGTGCCCGCCTGCGCCCTCGCTTCTCTACTCACGACGCGCAGCGTCCCTGCGTCTGGCCGGCCCTTCGCCCTCTGTCTTTTCCCTCTGCCGCGTTCGCCCATTGGCTAACGGGAGCCACGCCCAAGAACCGCAAAGGCGAGCATTTCATTGGCCCTCGCTTGGGGGCGGGGCTGGAGAGCAGCGAGCTTCGCTCCTAGAGTCGTTCGGGCTGCAGCTGCTGGGGTTGAGGTAGGGGAGGTGGTGCGGGCCATGTGGCCCACCCTGCGTTACATGGGCGGTGCCTGCGGTCGGGCCCGATGCCCCTTTGCCGCGGGCTTCCTCAGGACAATCGAGCAGCCGTCCGCGGGGCCGGGGCTGCTGTGCCGGGGTGGCCGCAGCTCCAGCACCAGGTAAGTGAGTGGCGGTGGCCTGCGCTTGCTGCTCCCGTTTGAGGTGTCTCGAACTGGACCTGTGCCCCGACTGGACGTCTCTGTCCCTAGCGATGAAGTTCTGATTCTGTGGTCTAGTCTCCGACCCCAGGAGCTGCTGACCTGCAGGGTTCATCCGCAGCATTTGTGGGCGGGAAGAAAGATAGTGTTGAGTGGAGGTCACTAGCAAATCCGGCTCTGAAATACACCCCTCCTCTCCGTTTCTTAACCACTTGAAAGGCTGAAGGGTGAATAGGGATCCTAGTCTGCCCCCTGGGTGGTCATTAAGTTTTAGTCTAAGGACTAAGCTGTTAAATGGTGTCGAAACAAGGCTTCCCTTTGTAGCCCTGGCTGTCCTGTAATTCCCGATGTAGATCATGCTGGCCTCCAACTCTCAGAAATCAGCCTGCCCCTTCCTTCCATGTGCTGGGATTAAAGGGACGTGCCACCTCCCCTGCTCCATCTTTTGAGATGGGCTGGCCAGCAAGCCCCAGGGATCTGCCTGTCTCCCTACCCACCCCAAGATTACAGATGTGTGCAAACCATGCTTTTACATAAAGGTGCTTGGGATACAAACTCAGGTCCTCATGTGTGCACAGCAAGGGTTTTACCAATTAACCCTTTCTCCTAGCCCTGAAAATTCTTATACTTTTTAGTTTAGAAGAATTGTAGATCCATAGAAAGCAGCAAAAATTATAGACTGATTTTATGTTGGCTTCCCCCATCCCCACCATTCTCCTCAATGTTAGCATAGTACAACAGCACAGTCAGAAAATTAATATGTCATTCAGGTTTCATCAATCTTACATGCACTTTGTGTGCTCTGTGTGTAGCTCAATATAGTTTAATCATATTTTGTGTAGTCCTCTTAATTTTGGCATAGAAGTATCCCATTGTGGACCTGGGCACAGGTGCCCAACCAAGATGACAGGGCCCAGTTGTCAGTTAGCTTCTCCTAAGATCCACCAGAAAAGATGAACCCTGACAGCTCTCCACAGCTCAGCCAGACATTGAGCTACAATTCCTACCCTGGATGAGCTACAATTCCTGCCCTGGACGCAAAATGAATGAACAGTATCTGCCAAGTGCTGGCCTCTGTAACAAGAAATGGGCACCAATCGAGTCTGGACAGCAGAGTCAGCCAGATCAACATCTATTATAAGGATGCCAACAATACCTCTAGAGTTGGCGCCAAGCAACAAGTTCAGCTCGCTGTGATCATTCAATCTTAAAGGGCTGAACTCATCTTCTGTCAGTGGCCAGATGTCTGTATTTCACCTTATGGCAGGATATGGCTTAAACACTGCAAATAAGGAAAAGGTAACTACATTTTCCATTGCAGGGCTGTTTGCCCTGAACATCACGAATTTCCAAGGTGGTTCTTTTATCAGGTGCCTCACTGTTCTTTTATGCACAAAAACCACACTTTGATTAGCAGGAACAGTTATCAAAAAGTGAAACTACAGAAACCAAAAAGCAAGGTTGGTATATTTAGGAACTTTCCCAGATCCTGGAACTGTAGACTAGGTCTTGGATGGATTAGATCTTCACTCCCGCATTGGCAGGTTTGAGGGCCTGCATGCTGGGTTCTCAGGTCAGGATGGTGCTTCCAAATGGTGTCGGTTGTGCTAAGGTCTGAGGGCCTGTTACACCATCTCTGGAGAGAAGAACGGTGGCCACAACTTATCCTCCCCTAGGGCACCCATCATTTGTCTCATGTAGTGGGGTCCCACCCTCATCACCCTTGTTCCATTCCCACCCACAGTTCCTGCAGTCCCCCTCCTTGCCCCTCAGAAGCCCACGATAAATGATAAATGCTCCACCATGGTTGGAGCTAAGCTGAAGAAGGTGCAATGGCCAGAAGAGTCATTCAGAGACTCTGGTCCCAGCAGAGTGTCAACATCTGCTTCTGTCTGGGAGGGCAGAGAACCCGGAAGGTAAAGGAAGCCCCACCGAGGAGATGAACTAACTTCAGGCCAAAAGGAGAATGCAATTGCAGCTTCCCAGACAGACGAGCCCTCTGACAGAAAAGACAAGCCCAAGGGAAGATCCTAGCATCTCCAGCATCCAATAAGGCCCCAAGCCCCCAACAGGCCACCTAGCTCCTTAGATGCTGATGTGAAGCTTGTCTGTGGTGAAGAGCCCCAAATTAAGGGCCCCCTTTGGGTTGCACCTCACTGTAGGGTGAACCCTGTCAGGAGTGTGAACAGCATGTGTGTGGTCTCCAGTGAAGCAGGAGCCCTTAGCAGAGGTTATCTTGAGAGAGGTGAAGAACATTGACTCCATTGGGTGGGCCCTGAGTGGGATCAGCATCCCCTAGAGTGAACAGGAGGGAATAGAGGATCTATCCTGTGAAGTCTGGATGTATGTGTCTCAGCCTGTGATGCATTAAAATAGAAATCAAGTTCAACTCCCAGATTCATTCTTTCTTAGATTCTATCTGATATAGAATGTCAGGCCTATTCTTTGTGTGTGTGTGTGTGTGTTTTATATTTGCTCAAGAGAACATTTCTTTGGTGTATAGACAACATTCCCAAATTATCTGCTTTGTTAGATGGCTTCCAAGTTTTCTCTTAGGTGATGGTATTGCTGCCCTCCATGGCAATGAGCAACTGGGCCTGCTGTAGCCTTGCCATGCTTTGGAGCCATGGCATCTGTGGTATTAACATGCAGCGTATGTTCTTTATGCACAATAAATACGCAATTAAGATGTTCCATCATAAGATTTGTTGCCTGTCCCTGTCTAGTTACATCTTATATCTCCATTCTTCCTAACTCTTGGCAGAAAATTTTGTCATTTTGAGAATCTTTTTTTTTATTTATTTGAGATTTATTTATTTATTTGTTATGTATACAGTGTTCTGTCTGCATGTATGCCTGCAGGCCAGAAGAGGGCATCATTACAGATGGTTGTGAGCCACCATGTGGTTGCTGGGAATTGAACTCAGGACCTCTGGAAGAGCAGTCATCACTCTTAACCTCTGAGCCATCTCTCCAGCCCCATCATCTTGAGAATCTTACATAAGTGAAGCATAGTACAGGACCCTTAACACTGATTTTATCATATGATATACATATATACATATTCTTATTACATATCACATATGGTATATTATATAATATAAACAATATATATGATATGTAATGTGATATTTGTTATATATGATATATAAATATCATGTTGTTACAAATTTGTAGTTTAATTTCTCATTAATGGAAATTATGCAAGTGAAGTTTGGTGAGGCCTCTAAACATAAATTCTTAAAGCTTGATTTTTCTTAAAGCTCATTTGATATAGTCATCATCGGAGGCGGAATTGTGGGCCTTGCCTCTGCCAGAACACTCAGCCTGAAACATCCTGGACTTTCGATTGGTGTTGTGGAAAAGGAGAAAGATTTAGGTATGTATACCATCAGCTTGCTGGGAACCTGCTTGTCTTGTCAGGCTGAATCAGTCATGAAAAATGTTGATGTTAGTTTCTCGTTTTGGGTGAGACTAAAGGCAAGGGCGCACTCTAAATGTGCTGCTGGAACTTGGGTACACTGGTACCCCAGGGAGCAGCACAGTCCTCCCCAGGGAGCAGCACAGTCCTATAGTCCTTCCCCAGGGAGCAGCATAGTCCTTCCCCAGGGAGCAGCACAGTCCTACCCCAGGGAGCAGCATAGTCCTTCCCCAGGGAGCAGCACAGTCCTCCCCAGGGAGAAGCATAGTCCTACCCCAGGGAGCAGCACAGTCCTACCCCAGGGAGCAGCACAGTCCTCCCCAGGGAGCAGCACAGTCCTCCCCAGGGAGCAGCACAGTCCTACCCCAGGGAGAAGCATAGTCCTACCCCAGGGAGCAGCACAGTCCTCCCCAGGGAGCAGCACAGTCCTCCCCAGGGAGCAGCACAGTCCTCCCCAGGGAGCAGCACAGTCCTCCCCAGGGAGCAGCACAGTCCTCCCCAGGGAGAAGCACAGTCCTCCCCAGGGAGCAGCACAGTCCTCCCCCAGGGAGAAGCACAGTCCTTCCCAGGATGGTGCTCATTCTCTGTCAGCTTCCAGGATTTTCCCTATTGATACGAACAACCCCACTTTCCTCCAAAAAGACAGAAAAGGCCTTGGAGCATGTGCAGAGAGTCTTGGTGTTTAAACAAAGCTTAAGAAATCAGAGATGGGCAGGAATGGCTTGGTAGCGATGCCAGGGATAGCTGCTATGGGAAGTTGCCTATAAAAGAACAAATCTAGGCAAAATTTTTAAATGATGTGGCCCATAATAGCTACATGTGTAATTAATTGTTCTTCACCTCTTTTGCGTGAGTCATTTACTTTTCTTACCCTGTTTTTCTGACTTTATAGCTCTTCACCAGACGGGACGGAACAGTGGTGTCATACATAGTGGAATTTACTATAAACCTGAATCTCTGAAAGCTAAATTGTGTGTAGAAGGCGCAGCCCTCATCTATGAGTACTGTAATCTCAAGAGAATTCCCTACAGGCAATGTGGCAAGGTACAGCATTATACTAGGGCCTTGGCTTGTTTATAACTAGTGTTTTCTTGGGTTTAAATGTTGAAAATTCTAAAAGAAAGTCATTCTTTCTGCTCTTCTATCCATGTAATTTGATATAGTCTAAGAAATAACAAAAATGATGTGACAACTGACTTTATGTAATTAAAAGAGAAGTTTGGTTTTTTGTTTGTTTGTTTCTTGCTTTTTGTTTTGTTTTGTTTTGTTTTTTGAGATAGGGTTTCTCTGTAGCTTTGGAGTCTGTCCTGGAACTCACCCTGTAGACCAGGCTGACTTCAAACTCACAGAGATCTGCCTGCCTCTGCCTCCCAAGTGATGGGATTAAAGGCATGCACCACCACCACCACCACCAGGCTAAAAAAATAAGTTTTATAACATATGATAAGTATGCAATTTAGTTTTTAGTATATTTACAGAGTTGTGCAACTATCAACACTAATTTTAGGATTATTTTCATCACCCTCAAAATAATCTATATACTAGTTTTCCATTCCTACATCTCCTGAATGCCTAATAACTGTTTTATTTTCTGTTTCTATACTTTATACTATGTGTCTTTTAAAAAAAAGGCTTCTTTGCAACCCTGGCTTTTGGGCCTTTGTAGACCAGGCTTAGCTTTGAACTCAGAGGTCTGCCTGCCTCTGCCTCCCAAGTGCTGGGATTTAAGGCATGCACCACCACCGCCCAGTTTATACATATCTTATGAATAGAATTATGTCAGAACCTCCATATTCTATGCCATTTTTAAAAAGATACACACCATAATGTTTTCAGAGGTTATCCATGTTGTAGCATTAATTAGTACTTCATTCTTTTTTTATGGCTGACTTCATTATGTGGGTATGTCTCATTTTGTTTAGGTGCTTATCAGTTGCTATGCATTTGAGTTGTTTCTGCTTTTTTTGTTGTTAGGAACAATAGGTATTTATGTATAACTTCTATGGAAGCCCATTCTCATATCTCAGTGGAATATTCCTAGAAGTAAAATTTCTGGGTCCTGTGGGAACTCGATCTTTAGCATTTGTAAGAACTGTCAAACTTTTCCAGATATTACTGTTACATTTTCACTGGTAATTAAGGAGGCTCCCATATCCTTATATGTTTCTTATATTCTTATCAATACTTGTGATTTTCTGTTTTTATTTTAGCCATTCTGATAGATATGAAGCACTACCTCATTGAATTTTTTTTTGTTTAGTTTTGTATTGAGACAGTGTCTTACAATGTAGCTTAGGCCAGCCTTGAACTTTTAAGTCTCCTGCCTTAGCCTCCCAAGTGGAACTATAGCTTTCTAGCAGTATAGCTGACTGACTTTCTTCATTACGATGACTAATGAGACAGAGAACCTTTTCTGTGTGTGTGTGTACACTATGTGTATATGGAGGCCAAGATCAACATCAGGTATGGTTTTTTTTTAAATCATTCTCCACCCTATCTTTTGAGATAGGGTCTGTTATTGAACCTGGAACTCACTGATTGGTTAGTGTGTCTGGCCAGTGAGAGCCAGGGATATTTCATTCTCCTGTCTCTTCCTCCCCAGTGCTAACAATATAGGCTTACCCCACCAAACTAGTTTTTACACAGAGAGCCAAATGCAAGTCCTTATACTTGCCCAGAAAGTACATTACCCATGAAGCCATCTTCCCAACCCACTTGAGTTTATTGTTAATTGGCAAAAATTGTACATATTATGTACAACATATGCATGTGAATATGTATGTGATAGCATAAATACACATGACAATACGTAACTGACTGCCTTATGCATTACCTCATATACTTGCTATTTTGAAATCTGTTCTCTTAATAGTCTCCAAGAATACAACACATTATAATTCCTGTAGTCACATGCTTACAATGGATCTTCTGAACATGTTCTTCCAATTTTATTGAAACCTGATAGTCTCTGACGTCTGCCCAGCCCTCACTTACTTCCAGCCACGGGTAACCACCATTTAAGTGGCTCCTTTAAGAATTTAGTTCTTTCACATTGGACATGCACAGCCTACATGCTACATTTTCTGTATTCATCCATTGCTGGACACTTAAGTTGCTTTTCTATCTTTGCTACTTGTGAATAATGTTGCAAAGAACATAAGACGTCATTAATCTCTCTAGGTATCTTGATTTCCTTTCTTTTGGACATACACCCAGAAGGGGAATTGCTCTACCTGTTTGAACAGTTTTTTTAATAATAATTTTTTATTTAACTTTTTATTCATGTTTTTCCCAGTTCCCTCTCCTTCCCCTTCTCCCCCAGCTCCCTAATCTCCCAGCCCCCCACCCCACTCCATCTCCTCTCTGCTTCCCAGGGAGGGTAAGGATTTTGAGAGTCTGTCATATCCTGGGCAGCGCCTTGGTCCTCCTCCATGTGTCCAGGCTGAGAGAGCATCCCTCCATGTGGAATGGGCTGTTTTTAAAGGGCTTAATGGTCATTTAAATAGTTTCATTAGAGAGATGTATATTCAATCTTTTACTCACTTTAAAATTGTTTGATTTGTGGTTTTACTTTTGAATGATAGTGTTCTGTATATATCTTGAATTGAACATATATTAGTCCTCCCTAATGTGTTCTAAGACTTTTCATGAACGTCTGAAGCCTTAGATACTACTTTTGGTCTTTCCTTTTATTCTATCCCTTTCTGTACTTTAGTGTTTCTTGTCCATGCATACCAATGATCCAGTTTAACATAAAATTAGGCATATAAGAGGTTAGCAATGACTTTATTAAAGGAAAAACTTTAGCAACATGATCTACTAAAAGTTATGTGAATTTGATCAGTTGTCTTTCTCAGAATACCTTATTGTGCTGTACTTATCCTACTTGTGATGTCATGAAGCACTTGCCAGCATCATGACTCTTGCATTTTGGGGCCATGTTAAATGAAATAAGGGCTACTTGAACACAGGCATGATGATACCATGTCAGTCAATCTGGTATTGTAGGTGACTACAGAATGACTAATGAGTGTGTGGCATATGCAGCATGGATATGGGAGACAAAGTAAAGTGTTAGTCCCCATACTAGGAACTGATATTTTTGTGCTGTGTTTGGCTGTGAGTAACTGAAATCTCAGAAGACAAATCAGGAAGGGGAGAAGTTTTGTTTACCTATGTGATTCTGAGCATTTTGTCCTATTTTGTAGGCTTCCCTTGTTGTCTTCTTGATGATATCCTTTGAAGTTCCAAGGGTTTGGATTTTGACAAGATCTAGGGTTTTCTTTTGTAACTTATGCTTCCGGGATCATATCTAAGAAATCACCAGCTGGTCAAGACTGACTTCTTCATTTTTCTTCTAAGAGTGTCTGTATTTTTCATTGCTTACATTTAAATCTGTGAGCACTCTGGAATTAATTTAATAAATATCTGGTGTAGGTTAGGACTCAACTTTGTTCTTTTGTATGTAGATGTCTGTGTGTCTCACCATCATTTGTTGGAGAGTATCTTCCTTCTACAGAAATTGTTTTGACACCCGTCTATAAAATCATTTGGACATAAATACAGATTCTTGTATTACCCACTAGAATATATGTGTGTCTATCCATACATATAGGATGTAAGCCCCCTAACTTTAATGTGTATTTTTCAAGTTTGCTTTGGCTATTTGGGGATCCTGAATTTCCAAATTAATTTTAGGACAATTTGTCAATCTCTTCCAAAGAGCAGCTGGAATTATGCTAGAGATTATGTAGGACAATTTAGAGAACAACATCATCTTTAAAATTTTTTATTATTTTTTTATGTGTGTATGTGTATATGCGTGCCCATGGAGGCAAGACAAGGAGCTTGGATCTCTTGGAACTGGAGTTAAGCAGATGTGAGCTGCCTGCTGTAGATGCTGGGAACTCTCTGGTCAGCTGTCTTCCCAGCCTCAGATATTGCTAGTTTGACAATATTAACTCTTTTCAGTCTATGACTATGGCTTCTTTCATTTGCTTAGATCTTTAACTTCTTTTAGCTGTTTTATAGTTTTCAGGGTTTTTTGTTTGTTTGTTTTTCTGAATCAGGATTTCTCTGTGTAGTGCTGATTGTCCTGAAACTCACTATGTAGACCAGGTTGGCCTTGAACTCAGAGATCCACTAGCCTGTGACTCCTGAGTGCCGGGATTAAAGTATGTGCCACCACCACCAGCTTGTTTTTTAGTTCTCAGTGTGTTAAATCTTGCCACCTCTTGTTAAATTTTTTCCTTGTTATTTTATTTTTATTGATGCTTTTATGAGAGAATTGTTTTTAATGTCATTTGTTCCAGGTTTTTGTGTGTACATGTTTCTTAGAGTTTTCTACCTGCAGGATCTTCTTATCTACAAGTAGATTAGTTTTTTTCAGTTTGGATGTCTTTTATTTGTTTGTTTTTTACATTTATTTAGTGTGTGTGCGCGCGCGAGTGCGCGCCTCATGCTTTTGCTTATATACTATGATGTGTATATAAAAGTTAGAGGATAACCTGTGGGAAGCATTTCTTTCATCCCACCATATAGGTCCTAGGAACCAAACTGAGATGGTTGGGCTTGGTGGCCAGTGCCTTTTCCAACTGAGAATCTCACCAGCTCCTGGGTTTGTTGTTTGTTTGTTTGTTTTAAGCATCAGAGAGTGTTATATTTTTCTCAAATGTCTTTTCTGCTTCTGTTGAGATTTTCTTATTTCCTCTTCATTAGTATAGTGTATCATATAGTAACTAGCTTTTGGATATTAAGTTGATCTTGTCTTCCTGTGATACATACCATATGGCATATAACCCCTTTTACATGTTGCTGTATTTAGTTTTATTGTTTTTTGTTTTTGTTTTTGTTTTTGTTTGTTTTTTGTTTTTTTTACGAGACAGGGTTTCTCTGTATTGTTTTGGAGGCTGTCAGTCCAGTCTGGCCTCGAACTCACAGAGATCCGCCTACCTCTGCCTCCCGAGTGCTGGGATTAAAGGCGTGCGCCACCAACGGCCCGCTAGTCTTATTGTTTTGCCTGAGATTTTTGCAACTGTTTTACAAACAAGAGCGGAGGATGTAGCTCAGTGGTATGTGGGAGTTCACTGACCTCGTAATAGTAGTTTTAGAGATGTTTCCTCCTCCTCTCTCTCTCTCTGGAAAGCAGATTTGATTCTTTCTTAAATATGTGGTAACCTTCATTAGTAAAGGCTGTGTTGCTGGCCTTTCCTTTGTGGGAAGTTGTTTTTGATCTTAGTTTTGTTTGTTTGTTTTTGTTTTTCCAGACTGAGTCTATCTTTGTCCTGGAACTTGCTATGTAAACCAGGCTGACCTTGAACTCACAGAGATCCTCCTGCCTCTGCTTCCCCAGTGCTGGGATTAAAGGTGTACACCACCACACCTAGCCTTTGTTAGAAGTTTTTATTTGCTTTGCTTGTCATGGTTCAATTCAGGCTTTTTGTTGTGAGTCATTTTCAGAAGTATTCTTTCTAACAATATGAGCATCTAGATGGTCTACTTTGTTTGGCATAGTTAGTTGTTCACACCACTCTTTATGTGTCTTGGCCATGATGCCCTCTCTCCACATTTTCAAGTCTGAAAGTTCATTATTGTCATTAAAGATGAATTACAGTATTTTTTAAGTAATGTGAGAAAATGCCTTGAGAGAATGTTAAGTGAAAAAAGAAGTAGAAAGTCACAGTTTTCATTGGGTTTTCAAAAGGCCAAGGTGGCAAACCTTTATCTTCTTTATGATTTACAAATACTCCCATGCTATGATTTGTCTTTTTACTTTCTTGATGGTGTCCTTTGACTCATTTTTGTTTAAAACGTTAATCATTTATTGACTTAAGTAGCCTTTGTACCTTGACCAAATGCGTTACCTCAGGGAATTCTGTTGACTCTCTGGTATGAGATAGTGACTTGGGCATGCTAGTGTACCCATGAATGTGTACCTGTGTTTTGCCTTGCTGTGAAATAAGAAGAAACTCAATTTCAGATACCTTTCTCAGAAACATATAGGAAAAGAGTTCTAAAGAAAGTTGATTAAAGGCTTGAGAGATGGCTCAGAGGTTAAGAGCACTGACTGCTCTTCCAGAGGTCCTGAGTTCAATTCCCAGCAACCACATGGTGGCTCACAGCCATCTGTAATGAAATCTGGTGCCCCCTTCTGGCCTGCAGACATACATGCATGCAGAATACTGTATCATAATAAATCAATCTTTGAAAGAAAAAAAAAAAGAAAGTTGATTAAATGTAATTCTTCCCTCAGCATTAGTAAAGACTGTGTAATTTCTGTCAAGACATGAAAAGAATAGTTTGTTGAGCATGGTGGCCCCTTACACTGGTTATTGATGGTTTTTATGACCTAGCATTTCACATTTCCTTGTAGAAATAAGGAGGGTACGTACTTTGAAAGATGTAAAGGGGATTAGAGACATGGCTCAGCAGCTAAGAGCACTGACTGATCTTGCAAAGGGTTCAGGTTCAATTCCCAGCACCCACATGGAAGCTCAGAACCACCTGTTACTCCAGTTCCAGGGGATCCATTACCCTCTCTGCCCTCCATGAACATTGCACACAAATGATACAAAAACATACATGCAGGCAAAGCACCCATACACATAAAATAAATCTTAAAAGTAACAAGGGAAAGCTGTAAACATATACTTCTCTTGTTGCTGGGATAGAGGGAGTGATGATAAGAGTTATATATGGTTGACATATTGTAACTCTCAGCAAAAAATGGAAATTGAGGCTGCATTTCTTATTTGGGGAGATTACTTTTAATGCTATTTTCTTAAGACTTTTTTTTCTTGGTGAAGGAAAGAAATAAAATAATGAACCAAGGGAGCAGTAGACTAATGACAGAAAAATGCTGTATATCAACCCCATTTGAGACATGTGATAGTTAATAATTTTTACATTGACTATATATTTTATAGCTGGTAACTCTGTTCATGCATTTTGTCATTTTCTGAAGCTAATAGTAGCTGTTGAACAAGAAGAAATTCCCAGACTTCAGGCTTTATACGAGAGAGGTCTACAAAATGGAGTCCAAGGTTTGAGACTGATCCAGCAGGAGGAGATAAAAAAGAAGGAACCATATTGCAGGGTGAGTGATTGCCCAGTCTAGTGCACATGGTAGTTCCCATAAGCTATTCCAAATCATGACACTATGAATGGACATTCTAGAATACATGTTTCAGTGAAAAAGTTAATATTGCTATTGGGTGTATACATCAGAGAGATTATTAGGTTGCAGTTTATGTGTTTATGTTCAGCTTTGGAAGATATTGCCAAAAAGTTTTCCAAAGTATCTTGGTTTATTCTCTCAGTCATATAGAATTCCAGTTGCTCTGTGTCCTTAGACATGTGGTCTTTGTTTTCAGTGAAGTCACTTCTGTGGGTATGTCGTACAAACTGAATCTAGCTTACTGAGAATTCAGTAGTCTAAGATTTTGGGATGTTTTCACAGGCTTTAACCAGTCGGACATGCCTAATCCAAAACTTCAGAAAAATCAAAATGTTCCCCAATTCAAATATTTCATAACTTTATGTGGATTTAATATGTCTAATATGTTAGAATTTCACTGGTATGGATTGCCTTTGAGACTGAAACAATTTGTAAACTTCAAAAAGGCATACTAGTTTAGCAAAGTAATTTTATCTGCTAATGAAAAATCTCTTTAAAATTTAATGATTTGTTTGAAAAGACAAAAAAAAAAATTGACCTCTACAGGTTTGGGCATGGTGTAGAAATAACTCCATTTTAGATCTTGAGGACAGATCCCCCCCCAACTTTATTTAGCTAGTATTATTTCTCCCCTCTAGTAGACTGTGTTGAGCACATTTAGGCATTTAACAAGAGCAGACCTCTCTGTTACTGTTTTAAATACTGTAAGATTTTATAGGCGGATTTTTGTACCCTATCTGCCAGCTCTCTAATAACCCCATGGAAACTTCTTACTTACTATGAAAGCTCAGCCGATAGCTCAGGCTTGTTTCTAACTAGCTCTTTGAACTTAAATGAACCCATTTCTTTTAATCTATGTTCTTTTATGTGACTCGGTTGCCTTTGCTTTGCAGTTCCCATGCAGCTTCCTCTGCATCTGACTGGCAACTCCTGGAGACTCTGCCCTTCTTCCCAGCGTTCTCTTTGAACCAGAAATCCCGCCTAGCTATCGGCCATTTAGCTTTTTATTAAACCAATAACACTGAAAGATCTTCACACAATGTAAAGGAATATTCCACAACAAGGCTTTTGTTAAGCAAGGATAATGTGTGTTACCCATCAAAATAAACAAGTATAGAATTCCAAACAAAAATAAAATTTTGCAGCTGGGCAGTGGTAGCACACACCATTAATCCCAGCACTAAGGAGGCAGAGGCAAGTGGATCTCAGTGAGTTCCAGACCAACCTGCTCTACAAAGTGAGTTCCAGGATAGCCAAGGCTATTACACAAAGAAATCTTGTCTGGAAAAACAAAACAAAACCAAAAACAACAACAACAAAAGCTTTGAACAAACTTTACTGATTCTTGACTGTATTACTTGACATTTTTATACTTTTGTCCTAGGGTCTAATGGCTATTGATTGTCCATATACTGGCATTGTGAACTACCAACAGGTAGCTTTGTCATTTGCCCAGGATTTCCAAGATGCGGGTGGTTCTATCTTGAAAGATTTTGAGGTAAAAGATATTGAAATAGCTAAAGAAAGCCCTTCCAGAAGTAAGGATGGTAAGCTATCCCGTCTTCTCTATAGAATATTTGTATTGATTAAAAAAGAAAAAGGCTTTTTTTGGGGGGGGATCTGGGTGGTGCTTGTAGGAGGCTCCCAGGAGCCAGGCTAGAGTAGGGCAGAGTCAGAGGGGACATGGTGAAAGTGGGCAGGGCAGACCCACAGTTCCTAGATGTTTGCATGCTCATACACCTAGGCCCTGAGTAGACACTGACTAGCACTAAAGTCTGACGGCCACGGCTGTCATGTACAGTCGGCCTCCAGATGGTTCCCTGAGTGTTCGAGTCGGCACCTCTCAGCAATGCTACTGTAAATACAGACTTTAGTGCCATGTAGACTTCGTGAATCAGACTGTCAGAGATATGACTTCACAGTAGTAAGTGGTTATCTTTGGACACACCCAGATTTCCAACAGCAGACCAATATCATGAAAAGACTCAGCCATGCTGAGTCTCACCTCCGTCCTCTCTTAGATGCAGTCACAGCCTGTTTTCCGAGTCTCACCTCCATCCTCTCTTAGATGCAGTTACAGCCTGTTTTATTTTGCTTTGAGATGAGTAATTTTCTTTTTTTAGCTAAACAAGAGGCTTGCAAACATTCTGTTTGCTGCAGGGAAATTTGAAGGAGAATCAAGTTCTTCCTTAGCATGGTTTAAAGGAGATCTGGATTGTATGTAAATAAAATTGCTATAAGTGGGTAGCAGAGTAAGTCAAATTCACAATATAGGTAGATTGTAGTCTTTTTTCTGTACATATGCTTTATAGGTTGATAATATTTCATCAATAAGTGGGAACAAACTTGAAAAATGGCCAGTTTATTATTGGAATTTTTGTGTTGTGAAAACTCTTGCTTTTCTGAACAGCCAATGCAAGGAATCAGGTTGCCAGCCCTTGGACACAGGGTTGACTTGTGTTTAATATGTCGTGCTGCAGTTCTGCGGGTCAAAGTCACTTCATTTATGGCTTTGTTGTTCAGTGAAAAGTAGGGTCTGTACTAGGCTAACCTAGAGAAATGTGTGTTAGTCAAATGAATTAAAAGAAAGCATCCTAAAACATGCCAGAGTTTATGTTTTGTCAGTGAATTATTTTAGTTTTCTTACTTGGTAAAAGTTTTAGAATGGAAATTAAAGTACCATTAAGACAGTCATTTAAATTTGTTACTGGTATAGTATATCAACTAATGACAGCTTTCTTTTGCTCAAACCAAAAGATTCACTAATTCTTTTTAACCCTGACAGAGATGAAATATCCAATTGCTGTCAAGAATACTAAGGTAAAGATTCCTGAGCTGTTTTTCACTTCCATTTGCTAGTAAAATTGCACTGAGTGATTGCTGTGTTTTTGTGTATGTCTGTTTATGTACATGTACATGTTCATATGTGAACAGATACATGTGTGTGCATATGCATATGCGTGTATATACATGTGAGAGTTAGAGCACAACCTCTATTGTGGTTCCTTGAGAACCAGACACCATATGGATTTTTAAAATGTTTTTGTTAGCATATATAGTAATTACATATAGCAACAGGCTTCATTGTTAAGTTTTTATGCACATAAATTAAATAGTTTGATCATATTCCCTGCTCTGTTAGTAAGCTTTCTCTCTGTAGTTAGCCTCTCCTCTTTCACGTCTGTTGGGAATCAAAAAAACATTTTATTGTATGTGTATGAGTGTTTTGCCTACATGTGTCTCTGTGCACTGTGTGTGTCCCTCTGGGACTATAAGAGGGCACTGGATCCCTGCAACTGGAGTTACAGAAAATTGTGAGTCACCACATGGGTGCTGGGAGTTGAACCTAGGTCTTCTGCAAGAGCAGCCAGTTCTCTTAACCAGAGCTGTTTTTCTACTCCCTAAACCGATACTTTACCACTCTGCCACTCGCTGTACATTCACTTACTAACTACTAATTCAGAGAGTTTGGGAAGAGAACATAGGCTGTGCAGAGGGAGAAGATTGCTTTCCTTCATTCTCCCAGAGTTGAAAGCAAGAACCACAGAACATTCCCTATACCCTCAAGTGTCCGTGAGATGTCGATTTGCGCCCAACTAGTTCCATCCCTGTTTGAAAGAAGGAATATGGATTGAGAAACAGCAGGTAGAAAATTAAAGATACTAAAGAAAAAACAAAAGACATAGGATAGAATTGGGAAGGCTTTCCAGTGAATACTGAGTCCGCCCCGAGTGACTTTATGTATTAGGTGTTGGCCCTTGTCAGTATATGGCTTGCAAATTTCTTTTCCTTTCCTGGGTAGAATCTGGTGTGGCTCAGTGTTCATTTTTGCTTCTTTTACCTGTCCCTGTGGTGCCCTGTCTGTAAAAATCATTGCCAAGGCCAGCTTCAGGGAGCATATTCTATGCTTTCTTACATTCTGTAGTTTTAGGTTTTACATTTATTTGTTTATTTATTTATTGGTTTTTCGAGACTGGGTTTCTCTGTGGCTTTGGAGGCTGTTCTGGAACTAGCTCTTGTAAATCAGGCTAGTCTTGAACTCACAGAGATCCGCCTGCCTCTGCCTCCTGAGTGCTGGGATTAAAAGCATGCTCTACCACCGCCCGGCTACATTTAAATCTTAACTCCATTTCAGATTTTAATTTTTTAAAAAAATTTCTGAGACCGTCTCTAAAGACCAAAAAAAAAAATTCTGAGTTAAGGCCTTGCTAAGTAGCTCCGGCTGGTCTGGTGTTTGGGATGTAGTCTGAGCTGGCTGTGAACTCATGCCTGTTTCAGCTCCCAAGTTCTGGAATTATAGGAATTTTCCACCATAGCCAACTTCAAATTCATTTTTGTGAATTTTATAAAAGAAGGGTCCAGTTTTGCTGATAGTTACATTGGATTTCTTCTTTTAGAAAAAAATATGTTTATTTATCCTGATTTTTTTAGCATCTGTTTTCCCCTTTTTGACCTATTTCTTTATACAAGCATATTCTTTTTCAAAAATAATATATATAGCTGGGTGTGGTGACTCATGCCTTTAATCCCAGTACTTGGGAAGCAGAGGCAGGTACATCTCTGTGAGTTCTAGATGCTTGATCAAGTTCCAGGTTAGTCAGGGCTTACATTTCCACCCCCCTTATCCCTCCCCCACCAAAAGCACATCTTAATTAGCACAATCAACTATATAATGGGATTTAGTGTGCTGTTTCTATACATACATATAGTTTGTTAATTAAACCAACCTTCCTTTATTCTCCTCCTATATCTCAACCTCTGTTAATTATCCATTTAATTAGAATTTGTTGTCGTTGTTTTAATAAGGTTTCACATAGACAAGTACTGGGCCACATTTTCTTTCTCACGTTTAGAAAGTAACCATGCTGTTTCATTTTGTACCAGGGAGAGGAAGTTCGGTGTCGCTATGTTGTGACATGTGCAGGACTTTACTCAGACCGTATTTCAGAGTTGAGTGGCTGCAATCCTGACCCCCAAATTGTCCCTTTCCGGGGAGATTACTTGCTCTTAAAGCCAGAAAAGGGCTACCTTGTAAAAGGAAATATTTATCCGGTAGGTAATGTCACTGCTACTTCTGTCTTCTTATCAAACTGGGTGTGGGCATAATGGAAATGAAAATAAAAGCTCTCACTTGCATTAGAAGGGAGGGTTTGGGGGCTGTGTATATGGTCACTTCATCTGTCTCTGGTGGTCACATCCCTCAAGCCACCATCTGCTCTCCTGGGCATTGCGTGTCTCAGAAAGCATGCATACACCATGAAGTGCTACAAGAAAACCAGGCCCTCCCTCCTCTGCAGGACAGGAGGGACCCAACTCATGGCAGTGTGCTTTGTGTAGGAGCCCACTCTAGCTCCAGGGGGCAAAAGTCAGGGGAGTTTAAATAAAAAGCGAATTCTTCTGCCCACATTTACCCTGTTGATGAGCAAGTCCCCCGAAGTATGTTAGGTTGAACCAGATGAAATTGGTGCTTTTGGCCTTGCCAACAACTAAATTCATCTGCTTCATTTTTCCCCCGTGTTTTACCTGCCAATCACAGACTTCTCTCATAGGAGAAAGAGGCACTAATATGAAGTAGAGCAGTTAATCTTTTCCCCCTCACCCAGAAAGACGGAGAAGAGGAACACATGTATTAATGTCAGTAGCGTACAGTATCTGGAAGGAGCGATCTTATCTCACCAGTTAGACATTTGGTACCTGCGGTGAAGTGGGAAGGGAATGAGGCTGATAGTTGGCTGCTGTGTTGGATCTGCAGGTCCCAGATAGCCGCTTGCCTTTCCTGGGAGTGCACTTCACTCCCAAGCTGGATGGCACCATTTGGCTGGGGCCTAATGCAGTGCTTGCCTTTAAGCGGGAAGGTTACAGACCCTTCGACTTCAATACCAGAGATGTCATGGAAGTAATCTTCAAGAGGTAACAGTCACCTTTAAGATGATTTTATGTGCTTATTTTTTTAATGTGGAAAGTTTTTGATATTCTGATGGAATACACCCTTATATATGTGATTGTTGGGTTTATTTTTTTATTAATCCAAATTAAGATCTTTCTGTAATAAACATAAATTTGATTATTTGGTATTGATGCTAAGGATCAAAACTAGAGCCTTGCATATCCCAAACAGGTTTTTTCCCACTGGACTATACACCTAGCCCCAAGAGTAATGTTTAACGACCTCACAAAGATTGTGATGAACCAGGGTGATAATGTCTTAGCTAAAAAGAAAGTAAGGCCAAAGCTGTTCGTAGATCTGGTAGTCCATCTCTTAAATGTTGCTAAAATATCAGAAACTAATAAGGACTTACTTTGAGAAGGTCATTTTCAAGCTTCTCACCATTGTTTTGTAAGCTATTAAATAAATTACTGATGAGATGGTGTGTGTGTGTGTGTGTGTGTGTAAATCTAAGGCTGTTATTGAATAGACTTATAACATAGATCCTTTTTTTTTTTTTTTTGAGACAGGGTTTCTCTGTGGCTTTGGAGGCTGTCCTAGAGTCCTAGAACTAGCTCTTGTAGACCAGGCTGGTCTCAAACTCACAGAGATCCGCTTGCCTATGCCTCTGCCTCTGCCTCCCGAGTGCTGGGATTAAAGGCGTGCGCCACCACCACCCAGAATTACACAGATTCTTAACTCCTCTAAAAAATAGCCTCGTGAAGTATTCTGTTTGGTTTTTCCTGTGTGCATGCATGTGGGGGGGTGTATGCACATGTCTGTGGAGGTGTGCATGCACATGTGTGTGGGAGACCTTAGTTTGATGTCGGGTATCTTCCTCAGTCAATATCTGCCTCATGTTTTTGAGACAGGATCTCACTCTCAGCTAGAAGCCCACCTATTTAGTTAGATTAGCTGGCCAGCAAGCCCCAGAGGTTCTCCTCTCTCCGCCTCCCCAGTGCTGGGACTAAAGGCCTGTGCTTCCATGCCTGCTTTTTACATAGGCGTTGATCTGATCTCAAGTCCTCATGTTTGCATGGCAAACGCTTAAATGAGCCATCTCCCCAGCCCTCTGTTTGGTCTTTTTAGTAATGTTTCTCTTCAGGAGATTTTTATACCACTGGAAAGCATTTTAAAGTATCGATGGGTTTTGCCCTCTGCAGGCTCTGACAGAGGACTGCCTTTTCAGTATGTACAAACTCTCCCTTGAGGACCACATCTAGAATAGTGTACCCCGACTACACTAGGACAGGTGTCTCACTTGTTTGTTCCCTGTGTTAAAGATGCTTTTCAGGGTGTTGAAAGCAGTAGAAAGCCTCAGTGTTAGCGAGCTTCATGGACTACCAGTTTGAAACCACATTCCTTGTAAATTTTGAGTATGAATTATTCCTCTCCTTATCTTGGTCAAAAGTTTATTGCCTATTTTTTTTTGACTTTTTGTAGATTTGTTTGATGCCACCAAAAGTCTTAATAGTTGTAAAGATATTTTATAGTAATAAAGGTCCCTCCATCTCATAAGTTTTTTTTTTCCTTCATTCTTAGTGGTTTCATTAAACTGGTGCGTCACAATTTCTCTTATGGAGCAAATGAAATGTATAAAGCCTGTTTTCTCAGTGAAACAGTGAAGCATCTTCAAAAGTTCATCCCGGAAATCACCACCAGCGACGTGCTTCGGTAAGGAAGTGTGGTGAGGACGGTAAATTTGGGAGGCAGGTTTGGCTGGTGCTGGCTCTTTTTCAGGCGGTACAGCCTCTGAATTTTGCTCTCTTACCCCCAGAGGGCTTTTGCATCTCTGTATCACAGCCCCTAGAACCGGGTCCTTACAGTTATCTACCCCTCTTTCGTTGGTGCTGTTACTGTTTTGAGACAAGTTCTCTCTATGTAGCTCTGGCTGTTTTGGAACACTCTGTAGACCAGGCTAGCCTCTAACTCACAGAGATCTACCTCCTTTGCCTCCTGAGTTCTGGAATTAAAGGTTTGTGCCACCTTGATTGACTCTTAAAAGCCTTTGGACAAGCCGGGCGTTTGTGAGTTCCAGGACAACCTCCAAAGCAATATAGAGAAACCCTGTCTCGAAAAATCAAACCAAACCAAACCAAACCAAACCAAACCAACCAACCAAACAACCAACCAACCAAACAAACAAACAAAAAAGCCTTTAGACAAATACTTGTTGTTCTTCTCTACTTAAAAGATTTACTTTATTTTTTATTGTGTGGGGGTGGGGTATATGCACATGAGTCCAGGTGCCTGAGAGACCAGAGGCATTGGATCCCATGGGACTGGAGTTGCAGGTGGTTGTGCGTTTCCCATAGTCTTTAATCCCAGCACTCGGGAGGCAGAGGCAGGCGGATCTCTGTGAGTTCGAGGCCAGCCTGGTCTACAGAGTGAGTTCCAGGACAGCCTCCAAAACAATACAGAGAAACCCTGTCTCAAAAAACCAAAAAAAAAAAAAAAAGAGCCGCTGAGTGATCTCTCCAGCCCCTCTGCTTCTATTTGTGTTAGGTCCAACTCTGCTTATAGGACAGAAGTGGGAAGTAGTATGGCAATGCTCAATCTAAATCCTTCCTACAGGGGTGTCAGGAAAAGTTTGCTTTTTCTTTTCTTAGAATTGAAGAGTTTCTGGGCTTGATGTGTAGATTATCCTGAATACCATCCAAGCCTGTGTGTTTTTCCTCTGTGGCAATCTTTTTAGTGTCCTTGCCAGTTGTTAGGCCTAACCAACAGTGTGCCCTGAGGTGCTCACACTGTGTCATGATACATCCCTCTACGACACTCCGGAGCACCAAATGTCTGCTTTCTCCGAGCAGCTGTCGAAACTAGCCTGGTGTAATATGTCAGCGAGCTTGACTGTGTGTCTGGAAAGAGTAACAATCATGTCAGCTGTTCCCCCTGGGATGAGGGAGACCTTCCTGTTCTAAATCTGTCTCTGTGCATCATTCTCAGACCATTCCTGACTCTTTAGAAGAACTATTAAAAACCTAGTTCTCCTTTTCTTTCTTACCTCTTGTTCTCCTCTACTCAACTTCTGAAATGCAAGGGATAAAAATATCAAGGCTTTATTTTCTGTGCTCACTTATAAACAAAACCTTTTATGTTCTCAGTAGTTTGCAGTTGCAACTTATGATGTCTTAAGCCTGAAAACGTGCCAGTTAAATCAGGTTTCTAGTACTGTCACTAATACTCTTTGGTTGTGTGGACATCTGGGCTTCTGTATCGAAACTGTGGTGGAGAATTCACTGCCCATATTCAGTTACCACCCTTCATAGAAGCCTGAGGCAAAGCCATTTGCTGGTGCATGTGGGGACAATCAGCTCAGTTACAGATGAGTTCCTCTGTAGAGACAGGAACGCGGGGACAATCAGCTCGGCCTCAGATGAGTCCCTCTGTGGACAGAGATACCAAATATATTTAGCGATCCTATGTGTTCTTCCTCTTGATTGATTCTGATTCCTCTAGTTATTAAACTCAGGATTTACTAAAAACAAGGAAGACATATTTGATATCATCTGCATGAGTTGAAAAACAAGCATAATATTATACATTATGTATAGATCACCATGAAAATAAAAAGCCATGATAGATTCAGGGAAGTGGCTACCTCTAGGGAGGGAAGATCAGGATCTATGACTACCACATGGACCTCCACCATATCTCTAGGGATTTACTTCTGTATATATGCCTGAAACATTAAGTAATATTAAGATCATAAGTAGTTTTCGCAGCTAGAAACCTCAGTCCTGCCTTGCGTTATTTGTCATGCAACCAAGTGTATTCAAACCATAAGTGTCTTGTCACTAGTGTGTCGTAAGTGGTGTTACACAGTAAAAGTTGACAGAGCATACATACATGAGGACCTGAGTTGGATCCCCAGCACTGCAAGGGAACAAGCTAATAGAAGCCACACTTGGTAGGTTATGTTACTCTGAAACTGTGCCCTTAAATGTCAATAGCTACCAAAGAACATTCATCTTGATTTCTAGTGCTTAGCAAGACATTATGGGCAATAATTTACTATTATACATTAGACTGGAATGTGAAATTATTATCTGTTAGATATATACATAGGGCTGGAGAGATGGCTCAGCTGTTAAAGGCTAGGCTCACAACCAAAAATATAAGATATATACATAAGGTATATAAACATATTGTTAAGTGATTTGTCACCAAGGCTCTTAATAGTAGCTCTAAGCTCCTTAAGATATTTTCTGATAAATATGGCACCTACATGTTAATGCTGCTGCAGTTTGTCAGCACTGTGAGGATGTAAAAAGATGAAGTCATATATACAATGATTCCCCTTTTCCAATGTATCATCTTGTTAAATGTATTATTAAGGAGTTCAAATTAAAATTTCAGAATGAAAATTATATTGTCAATATAAAATGCAATGCAAGACATTTCTATAACCTTGGTGCTGTTGACATTTTGCACTAGATAATTCCTTACCGCGAGGCCTGTCTGGCTCATTGCGGGATATTTAATATCACCCCTTATGTTTGTAATAGCCAAAAATGTCTCCATATATTGCCAGTGTCCTCTAGGGGGCAGAATTTTCCTTGGTTGAAAACCATTAGTCTAGAGAATTAGGTAACCCCCACACTACAAAATTCAAATAGAAAACGTAAGAAACATCTTTGGAATATATGTAGCAGATATTGAAGGAAAACATTCATATACCCAAAACAGAAGAAATTGAAAGCCCATTTGCCAAGAGGAGTTGGTACTGATGCTGCCCTAGAGCTGTAGGGAGGATTTTAATAAGTAAGAGACTTGGGTTACAGATGCTGTCTTTTTTATTTAGTTCATTCTTTTACTTCATACATGCATAGAATTCATTCTAATTACTTTTCTCCCTCAGCCTTTTTTTTTTTTTTTTTTTTGCCTCTCTTCCATTCCCATCAGCCCCTTTCCCAGATTCATGGTTTCTGTTTTGTTTTGTGACTTACTGAGTTTAATCAGATCTGACTGTGGGAATTTCGTTTCACAACTCTTCATTGGAGCCTTGTGAGGTCACCAGTGAGCACACAACTGAAAGCCGTGACCCCTCTTCTTCCAGAATACAGTAACCACAGTTCAGCAGAGAGCAGTTGGGTCCGCTTAGGTCATCCAGCTACGCCTGGCTTTCTTTTTTTTTTTTTATTAAAAAAAATTTTTTTTTTTTTTGGTTTTTCGAGACAGGGTTTCTCTGTGGCTTTGGAGGCTGTCCTGGAACTCGCTTGGTAGTCCAGGCTAAAATTCTTTTTTTAAATTTCGCGTACCAACCCTAGTTCCCCCTCTCTCCCGTCAGGCCTGTTCTTGTGCCGACGGCCTCACCTGCAGTGAGTCGTGACTGCAATGGCTGTGTTGTGTTCAGGAGGTGGCATTTTTCAGTCCTTCTCTCCAGCTCACATCCTCCCCTTTGAGTTACGTTTCCAACTGATGTATAACCACATGTAGTCAAATACGCACACATTAAGTGCTCAGCGAATTTTGAAAGTTGTGTATGTCCATCACACAAAACAAGATGATAGAGCATTAGGGAATTATATTTTAATTTTCCCGCAGGTAGTAAGAAAGGGGCTTGTGATCAATGTACAGAGAAAGAACCTATGGCATTCTTTTTATCTTCTTTCTTTCTTTTTTTTATTTTTAGGACAGGTCTCACTCTGTCCTGGAGCTCTATGTTTGAACTCACAAGGATCTACCTGCCTCTGCCTCCCAAGTGCTGGGGTTAAAGGCAGGTGCCACCAGGCCTGGCAAAACTGAGGGTCTCTTAGTAAAAACGGAATCTTAAAAAAAATCTCCCTTGGTACCAAAATTTATTAAGGAATTTTGTCTGTGTGGCCTTGGGAGTTGGGATGTGAGAGAGTGAGAATTTAAAAATATAAGGACTTAGGCAGAGATGTTAATTTATAAAAGTGGGCCCAGATATGTTTGATCCTTCTTGAACCTCAGTCAGCCCCCCCACTCTCTCCCCATGTCCCTTTGTGTATAAATTAGAGAGAAAAATTTGAAGCCAGTTTGGTCGATATGGACTGAATTTTGTCAATATTAAGCATGTACTACTTTATTAGTAAGCATAGTTTTCATACACATTGATATCAGATGGTATGCCTTAAATTCATTGGGAAAAGGTGAGTGTTGAGTCAGGATATAGATAAAATAAGAATGGTTATGTTTGTATAATTGTTGAAATATTTACCATACAACACAACAATGGTAATTCATACAAAGGGGTTCTTTTTCCTCTTATACATTTTTGTAAAGTTCCCCTCAGAACACCTGGCAAAAAGAAATGTAAAACCTGTGCAGAGGAACTCACCTAGCCACACTCAGACCCACAGGGTTCCCTCAGCTCAAGTCCCAGTGAGTGGGACCTCATAATCAGGTGAGAATCAGCAGGGAAATTACAGAATCAAGCCCCTAACAACTATCGTAGACTGCTTCTGCCCATTATAGTATGCTGGTATTATTTAGTCTTTCCCAGGACATGTATAGGATCTCAAAAGGTTCTAGGCACATAGGGCTGCCTGAATGAGTGGAGTAGGTGAGCACTTCCCCAGTCCATACCAGGTACAGGACTCCATCCCTAGTGCCTGCCAGAAGATAAGGAAAGATGAGTCTAGATAAAAGCCATGTTCTCTCATAATCCAATTTTGTTACAGTTTTAAAGAAAAGCTGCTCCTTCATGTCTGGAAATGAGGTTGGGATTCTTTACCTTTTTCAGAGCAGCACATCCCAGTTACATGTGTTTACATGGCATCACAGATTTAGACTGGCAGTAGATCCCATGATGAGCTATCCTATGTAGCCCAACATGTCAGTTACACCTTTTCATAACTTTTTCCAGCCACAATAAACCTGCCATGTGACAGTAATGCAGTACAGGATATCCCAGATGGAAGAATGTATGCAGTTATAGATTCAGCTGCTGTTGTTTCTGAACATATTTTAGGATCTAAGATGTACCTTGCCATTATACTTAGCTATAAATATATTAATACTATATTAAATTAATAAGTACTATATCAAATATAGTTCAATTCAGTTATTAATTTGCTGAATTATCCTTTTAGTTCTTTTTGTTTTGTTTGTTTGTTTTTGTTTTTTGAGACAGGGTTTCTCTATTGTTTTGGAGCCTGTCCTGGAACTCACTTTGTAGACCAGGCTGGCCTTGAACTCATAGAGATCCTCCTGCCTCTGCCTCCCTAGTGCTGGGATTAAAGGCATGCACCACCAATGCCGGGATTCCTTTTAGTTCTTAAAAAAATCATTAAAAGTTAAAAGAACTAAAGGTTTAAAAATACAGTGTGTAGCCTTATTGAATGAATGCCTGTAATTTGCAACACACAAACCTTATTGAATGAACGCCTGTGATCTCAACACGCAAACCTTATTGAATGAACGCCTGTGATCTCAACACGCAAACCTTATTGAATGAATGCATGTAATCTGCAACACGCAAACCTGGACACGGAGGTGAGGTAGGCGCTGGGCAAGACTTGTCCACCCTCTGGACGTTTTGGTTTATTTTACCTAAGGCTTCAGTGATAACACTTACCTCAAGCTGAAGTCTTCTGAAAGGAAACCTCGCTGCAATCCTGCAGGAGAGAGCCTTAGGGCTTCCTAAGGTGCTAGGAATGAAACATGAAGGCTTGGTAGTTTAAATATTTCATGTTAGTTTGAGCTCCAGTAAGACCTTGAGAAAAACAGTGTTTTAGTTTGCACTATAGGTTTTGAACACTTAGGCAAAAGGAATTGAGGGATAATTTGTCTTTGAGTGAGAAATAACTAGATGCTGTCTTTGCTGTGGTTAATCAGCGTTAACTCCAACATGCTGGGTGGTAAAGAGGAACACGCAGTTTGAAGAGCACCGGGCACCTGGGGCTGTTGTCTGGAAGGGCAGGGTGACAAGAACCAACAGCACTTTACCCAGCAACAGCATTCCTTGCTAGGAAAGTCAGGGTGTGCTGCTGGTGAGGTGGACGAACTGTAGAGTACAAAGGAGGAACCCACGCTGATGTGCTTCCGTGTCCTCAGAAATGGTCGCATCGGGGCCATTGTTTCTGTGCTCCAAGAGCTGTATCACATGCTCACTGGAGACTCTTCCAACCCCAAACCATGGTGCACCACAGCCAATCAATTACCTTTATCATGTAATTTTTGTAATTCTTACTCAGCTCTGTGAACAGTGTAACCGAATGCTTCCAGCAAGGCACATGATCTCTTCATTTTTCTTTGAGGTTACATATGTACTTCTCCTGTCAGAGCAGTTGTAAGGATAAACGAGATGATCACCAGTGGGTATTAAGCACCTGGTCCATAGTAGCTAATTTTGTCCTTAGCTTGTTCGGCCAGACTGAGTTCTAGAGGACAGTGTTATGTTGCTCTTGGTATCCTCAGGTTTTTATCTGAGCTGAGGATCAATAAAAAACCGTTCATGATTGCCTGACTTCTTGTGTCTTGATGATGCACAGATAGATTTTTTCCCCCTTACTTTGCACATGATTTTGGATTCTAAACACATTTAATTCAAATTTCATCTGTAAATTTTGGCTTTTTTTTTTTTTTTTTTTTTTTTGGTTTTTCGAGATAGGGTTTCTCTGTGGCTTTGGAGGCTGTCCTGGAACTAGCTCTTGTAGACCAGGCTGGCCTTGAACTCACAGAGATCCACCTGCCTCTGCCTCCCAAGTGCTGGGATTAAAGGCGTGCGCCACCAACGTCCGGCTAAATTTTGGCTATTTTATAAAACAGCAGACATCTAAGCCTAGAAAACCTCCTATATTACAAAACAGAATCTTAGCTAGGGAAAACCTGGACATGGTAGTACTTTCCTATAGTCCCAGAACTAAGGTTGTAGGATCAACAAGTTCAAGGTCAAGAGTGTTCCTGCTCTCTGTTGCTGACCATGACCATCTCTAATCCTTCCCCAAAATGCCTGTGGACTTCAGTGGGTACTGGAAGATGCTGAGCAATGATATTTTCAAGGAATAGCTGTACGGGCTCCATGTCAATGTGACCCTCTAGAAAACTGCCAATTTACCAAAGCTAGGCAAAGAGATCATGCAGGAAGGCAACCATAGACGGAGCCCTTTCCAGAACCACATTGTGGATTTCCAGGTTGGGAAGAAGTTTGACGAGGATCTGACAGGCATAGATGACTTCAAGTGCATGACCACAGTGAGCTGGGACCCGGGGACAAGCGCCAGTGAGTGCGGAAGGGTGAGAAGGAAGCTTGTGGCTGGAGCCATAGGATCAAAGGGATGAGAACGAAGGGGTGTGGTCTGCAAGCAAGTGTTCCAGAATGTGCGCTGAGCAGCCGTGCAGATAAACCTGAGCTGTCCTTGGCTGCACATGGAATTTAAGAGCCCCCTGAGCTGCATGAGACCCTGTCTTACTTACAAAATAAAATAAAGCCAGGTGTAGTGACTGATTCCTTTAATCCTAGCACTCCGAGACACAGGCAGGTGGATTTCTGAGTTTGAGGCCAACCTGGTCTACATAATGAGTTCCAGGACAGCTAGGACTCCGTAGTGAGATCCTGCCTCCAACAAAACAAAATGCAGAACTTGATCAGTTGATTCACTACAATATTAACATGTTGCTGAATTAATTCATTTTTATGCTTGCCATTTCTTTTCTTTTCTTTTCTTTTCTTTTCTTTTCTTTTCTTTTCTTTTCTTTTCTTTTCTTTGGTTTTTACGAGACAGGGTTTCTCTGTATTGTTTCGGGGGCTATCGGTCCAGCCCAGCCTTGAACTCACAGAGATCTGCCTGCCTCTGCCTCCCGAGTGCTGGGATTAAAGGCGTGCGCCACCACCGCCCGGCCGCTTGCCATTTCTTTTTAATTAATTGAAGGTTTTCCTTATATTGGTGGTTAAACTATTAAGTTTGGTTTTGTTTTTTGTTTGTTTGTTTTTTGAGACAGGGTTTCTCTGTGTAGCTTTGTAGCCTGTCCTGACATTCACTCTACCTCTGCCTCCCAAGTTGCTGGGAGTAAAGGTGTGTGCCACCACTGCTTGGCTCCTATTAAGAAATTTTTAAGCCGGGCGTTGGTGGCGCACGCCTTTAATCCCAGCACTCGGGAGGCAGAGGTAGGCGGATCTCTGTGAGTTTGAGGCCAGCCTGGTCTACAGAATGAGTTCCAGGACAGCCTCCAAAGCCACAGAGAAACCCTGTCTCGAAAAACCAAAAAAAAAAAAAAAAAAAAAAAAAAAGAATATTCTGAAAACTTGTAGACTATACTTTCTCTTTGGCTCAGATAAGTAACCCTTTGTTTTTGCTTCTGCAGAGGCCCAGCTGGGGTACGCGCCCAGGCCTTGGACAGAGATGGGAATCTGGTAGACGATTTCGTGTTTGATGGAGGAACTGGGGATATTGGGGAACGTGTTCTTCACGTGAGAAATGCACCTTCTCCTGCTGCCACTTCTTCCCTGGCGATTTCTAGAATGATTGCAGATGAAGTGCAGCAAAGATTTAAGTTATGAACAATGAAGGGAGCTGTGTTGACGTCATATTCCCTGCACAAGCAACAAGGGTCTACCAGTTGTATTTTTAAATTACAACTTAAGGAAATTTTGGGTTATAAGAACCATTGACTTGTTAACAGGACATAACATATAATTTTTAAAAGTCAGGTTCATATTCTTATGAACAAAGAAGCAAAATGCATCTGTACCAGTTCTGAAACCTCGAGTTTGCTAGAGATTTATCCAACCCACCATGATTTAGGAAGGGCTCCTATAGAACATTTTGGAAATCGGCATAAAGAAATAGACTGTTCTCTAAATCAGTGTTTGCCTTTATAATATTTAAATTTTTTCTTTCCTGGAAAAAAAAATGTCACGGTGTATTATAGGGGGTGACATTCTTTTAATATGAAGAGTCAGGAAAGCTTACATTATTTTGCGATGTTTTTACCTGGAAACTGAAAATGCTTGATTTCAAAAGAATACATGAAATCTCATATTTTTAAGTAGCATAAACAAACTCAACCCTTTACTCTCAGTCTCTGTAAGTTTCTCTAAAGTGGCGTGGCAGCATCACTCTTTCTGAATAGCGGCATACCTGTGTGCTTGTTGCCTACATTACAGTTTCCTGTGGCGGGAGATGAGAGTCCCTAAGAGGACCTTTTTTAGTAAGAGCACTGTGCAATTTTAACCAATCATTTGCATCACACCTCTGTTCTTTGGTCACACTAACGTTCCCAAGATGTTGGCCAGGATTACTGGCCTACTTGGGTTTTCAGAATTCCTATAAACTTTGCGAGGACATTTCTCCATTTTTGGTTACTATCTAACTTGGAGGCATTCACTTTTGTAAACCGCGAAAGTGCCTTACATTCTCCCTGTGTACTTCATGAACGTGTTGAGTTGATGCCAAGTGCCATACCATATACTGTGTGTGTGTGGTGTGTGTGTGTGTGTGTGTGTGTGTGTGTGAGCTGAGGAAATGTGTCTTAGAATTCACAAAGTTGGAAAATAGAAATGTGAGTGAGAAACTGGCATCCATGGGAACGGAGCCAGCCCTGAGGTGAGACGCTTCACCCTTCTCTCACATGCGTTCTCTCAGGGCTGTCTTTTCTTTCCCTCACCAACAGTGTGATGGATGCCCGAGAGGGATGTGTGTGTTGATAGGAAAATCCTTTCTCGTGTTTTATTTTTTCTTCACTTCAGCCCTTGGTAGGATACATATTATCATCTTCAGTTCAAGAGGCAGCACCTCCCAGGTAAATAGATGAGGCAGTTATTCAGCACTTGGGACGGGCATATTGAAACATTCAGAGATCATTTACAGAGGAAACTAACCCTAATGGTTCTCCACAACAACAGATTCCTACAAGAAATGCACTGCATGGAGTACTTCTCTGTTCTAAGACTTCTAAGTGATGCAAACATGACATGAAGATTATTTTGCTTTGTGAATGAGATGAGAGTATTTTCCTTTTAGATGTGTGAGAAGTGGGCAGGGTTCTCTGTGTCATCATCTGTGAGATCTTGTGCGCACACACTAAGCTGTGAAAGACTAAAGCTACAAAAACAACTGTCATGATTGAAGCATTCGTGTCTGTATTGTATTCTCCAAAATAACAGAGAAAATTTTGTTGAAATATGTCAGTTATTGTATTTGTAAAATATTTGATATTTATGTCAATGGCTTTTTGTTAAGTACTGATAGAAGAATTTTGTGTCTTTCTGAGAAAAGAAAAAATATATATATATTAGTATTAAATATTTTAATGATCCTTGGTGTTATGATCATGTTTTACTTCCATTAAAACATTTACTGAGTGGGGGTGGAAAGAGCACCCAGTGCTCTTGAAGAGGACCTGGGTTCGATTCCTTGCACCCACATGACAGCTCATGACTGTCTGTAACTTTAGTTCCAGGGGATGGTTGCACTCTTCTGGCCTCCATGTTGGCCACAGATATATACATGCAGGCAAAACACCCAAATATGTAAAACAATAAATAAAATATTAAACATTTACTGAGGAGCTGGAATGATGGCTTAGCAGTTAAGAGCACTGACTGCTCTTCCAGAGAATCCAAGTTCAATTCTCACCACCCACGTGGCGGCTCACAACTGTCTGTAACTCATGTAGTATGTAGTCCACAGATACATGCAGACAATATACCAATGCACATAATAAAACAAACAAACAAGCAATAAAATTTAGAAGATACTTTTTTAAAAAGTTGCCAAGTAGTAATGGTGCACATCTTTAATCCCAGCACATGGGAGGCAGAGGCAGGAAAATTTCTGTGAGTTGGAGGCCAGCCTGGTCTACAGAGCAAGTACCAGGACAGCCAAAGCCACATAGAAAAATGCTGTCTTGAAAAAACAATTTTTAAAAGGTTTACTGAAATGGATACCCTTGTTGCATAACACTTTATCTCCATCCCACAAGGAAGTTACTTATGCAAGAAGGTAAACAACTCAAAACAATGACTTAAGGAAGTTCCTGAAATTGACCAGATTTGCTTGGCCCCACCCTGTCACCTTGAACAATAAAAAGAGTCCATCTCAGATGAAGAAAGCTGAGTTTCAGAAGACTCTCAGGTGAGCCCAGACCAGCTGCTTGGATCAAGCAGAAACTAGACAACTACCCAGAAGAGTTACCGTTAAGACCAGCTGAGTTACTTGAAAGGGATACCCTTCAATCTGTCATGCTGTGTACAGGCATTGTTCTGTGTTCCAGGTCCCCAGCTTTTGTGAGCTGTCACACATGTTGGGGTAGGCCTTGGTGATGCAGCTGTCTGAGTCACTGCTGCTCTTGTAAGCAACTCCTCACCCATATTCCTGTAAGTGACCCAATAAGGTTTACCAAGCTGGACTTGGTAGTATCCGAACGTTGGTTTATGGTGGGTTCCCTGTCTGGAGTGAGTTGACCTGTGTGTTGCGTCTTCCCAAGAGAAGTTTTGTCACACAACAACCCTATATTAGGTAAACTATCATAACTGTCGTGGGTAGTCTTTAAAAACCCTCCTGAAACTAGGTCTAGTAGTGCATACCTGTGTTAGTGTTCAGGAGGCTGAGGAGAGGATCACAAGTTCAAAGCTAGCGTGAACTGTGTAGTGAGATTCCTGCCTCAAAACAATAACAAAATTGCTTCTGTATTTGTGCATAATATAAAACTGAGGTAGAGAAGGTTATATTTGGAGCTGACAGTGAAGCATCTTATATTTTAGCTTCAGAGTGCTTAGTTTGTGGGGAACTCTTACATACATTTTTAGTGTTTCATGTTATGTAACTTAACTCTTTTATCCACACGTTTATGTGTGTATCAAAGTCATTCCCTTGATCCTCTTGGTTTTGCATTGTTGGAGTAATGCCATTACTGTTGGCAGAATTCCACTTTTCCTGAGGACATTTGGAGATCTGCCCGCTAGCTTATGGTATAGGCTTAAATCTTGGAACTTTCTTCAAAAGATAGTAGTTTATTTTGCCAAACCCTGACATGTGGAAGTCTGTTGGGCTTTCACTGGAAGCTGTCCAACCCTAATGGCAGCGACTGTGAGCTCTTTGTGTGTGTGTGAACCAGGTGGTATGGTGTATGTGCGCTTGAAGTCTGGCTTTGGCCTCTGGGGCCCTACTCTGGTCAGATTTTTTCTGGGTATATTTAGAGGAGCAATTGTGAAATAAGTCACCGGATTTTTAACTTTTTATTACTGTGTATGTATATGTGAGTGGTCATGCCATGTCATGCAAATGCAAGTTGCAGACCTCTGTGGAGTCAGGTCGTTCCTTCCATTTTTACATAGTCTGTAAAATTGAACTCAGGCTTGGCAAGCTCCTTTATCCAGGAAGCCATCTTACTAGACCCAGCTAGTTTTTCCTAATATATAAGGTGAAAGGAAAAGAAAAAGATGCCTAGGGATGTTTTCAATCAGTTTGTACTGTGGTGATGTATTATTTATGATTTATTAAAGCTTGCCTGAGGGTTCAGAATACAAAAACCAGCCACAAGCCATAGAGGCCAGGCAGTGGTGGCACACACCTTTAATCCAGGACTCAGGAGACAGAGGCAGGCAGATCTCTGTTAGTTCAAGGCCACACTGAGCTACACGAAACTGATGCAGTTTAAAAGAGAAACAGAGTTTACATAAAGGTGATCTCAGCACTTGGAATCACATGCCTTTAATCCTTGCACTAGTGAGATGGAGACAGGAGTGATATGGCTGGGTGGAGAGAGGAATATGGGGGGGGCGGACAAGAGGCTTGGTGGAGAGCAGTGCAGTCTGCACTGCACTCTGAGGATTCCTGGAGACAGGCACCCGTTTCCGTCTGAGGTAAGAGCTATTGGTCGGCTGCTTTGCTTTTCTGATCTTCAGCTTGAACCCCAACATCTGTCTCTGGGTTTTCATTATTTGTGTTACATTGTACCCACTGAAAAGTTTAAGAATGGAAACAAAGACCCAAATGACTGAAAGGAAAAACAATGTTGATATCGACAGACTCTACTTCCTGCCTTCAAATTCTGCAAAAGGTCTTCTTCTCTTTGTTGAGTGTTACTTTCTATTATCAGGCTCTCATGTCAAAGTTATCTTATGTTAAGATTCTTTTTGTTCTGTGGATAAAATGAAGATTTTTGCCTTTTAGATGTGGCAAGAGGTATGTAATGGTATGTCTGAGTCGCTCAGGGAGAGCCCCTTTAATCCAGCAGATCTGAGAGACAGTGCTAAAAGAGATCCCTCTCTTTACTACCAGCAGAGGCAGAGGTTGGTGGACCTCTGAGAGTTCCAGGCCAATGAGAGCTGTCTAATGAGACTACACCTCAAAAGAACCAAAACAGGTCTCTGAGTAGAAAACCTTGATTTTCAGTCATCTTTGATTATCTTTAAGATGACTTCTAACTTCGGTGCTCTGGAACAGTGATGGGGCAAATAAAAGGGTTGTAACAGTCTTGTTACATGCCCCTTTGGCTGAATTTTACTTAAATGTGTCCACTGAGAACATAAGAGATGTCATTGATCTCTATATTTACTAAACAATAATTAAAATTATGCAAATTACTACTATTTGGGGGCAAACACGTTTTTATTTTCCCTTTACTGAGTCCCTTATTCTGGAATCAGGGACCATGTACATAATGATTATTGACAGGTCCCCGGTTTGGATCTATACTGAATAGATGATGAATTCATTGTTGTTCATAGCCTAACTTAATAACTGGTGGGACTTGGAAAGATTTTGTTGTATTAATGGAAACAAGAGCTTAAATGGTATCTTTCCACCTTTATGATAGGAGTTGTTGTGTGGGACAGCAACTTATAGAAAATGGTTTCTAGTCTTGTAGTAGTAGCAATAAATAGTGTTGTGACCTCCGCATCATCCCCAGAGCAACTGGAACACTATTTCTGTTGAAGAACAGTCTGCGCGTAACATACTGACACATAAACGTTGCTTGCTTTTATTTCTCTTGAGGGTAGAAAGCGTAAATCAATCAATCCCTTAGAGTTTCATTGAAAATTATAGTTGTCCCCTTAAATGATTACCCAATCATGTATGTGTAAAAATAAAAACCAAAAGGCCATGAATTTGAAAGAGAACGGGGGGGGGTTATCGGAGGGATTGAAAGGATGGAAAAGTGATATAATTATAATTTAATTAAATAGAAAGTAAATTATAGTTGCTGTTGGGAAGATGTTTTCGACATGCCATGTCTTGCAGGAGGTTGTGATTTTGAAAAGCCTGAGCATCCAGTGAGGGTCAAGGGTGCTTTCTCTCCACACTGACTCCAACTTCTTTCAAACAGGTGCTGTAAGTGGACTAAAGCTGTGGCAGAGAACCATGAAAGTGAGCAACAATAACATTTATTATTTCCTGTGGTGTTGCTTTGGTTTGCTACAGAATGACAGCACTTGTAACTTTAAGTAAATCGAGGAAGTATGAAATAGTAAATGGGAGAAATGTCAAATAAATTCTTGATTTTTTTTTCTGTTGGAGAACATCAGTAGTAAAAATATTTAACTGTTTTTTTAAAATATTTTTTAAATGCATGTTATGTATACAGCATTCTGCCTATATGCCAGAAGAGGGAATCAGGCCCTGCTATATGTGGTTGTGAACCAAGATCTCATTGCTAGTAATTGAACTTAGGACCTCTGGAAGAGCAGCCAGTGCTTTTAACCACTGAGTCATTTCTCCACCCCTCCCCCAGCCATTTCTCCAGCCCCCCCCCCCACTCCCAGCTGTCTTTTAAAATGAAAAATGTCCTTGGGACATTCGAGTTTTGGGAGATATTATTTTAAGGTGTGGGACTTTTGTTTATGTTGCATTTGTTTAACTCTGTGAAGCTGTGTTACTCTGCCTGTCTAAAACACCTGATGGCCTAATAAAGCGCTGAACGGCCAATAGCGAGGCAGAAGAGGGAGGTAGGTGGGGCTGGCAGACAGAGAGGATAAGTATGGGGAGACATCTGGGAGAGAAAGGATCTGGGAATGAAAGAGGAAGGAGGGGGACTTCAGGGACCAACCACCCAGCCACCCAGCTACACAGCCAGACATGGAGTATGAAGGAAAGGAGCGGTATACAGGAATAGAGAAAGATTAAAGCCCCAACGTCAAAGACAGATGGGATAATTTATGAAAACTGGCAAGAAACAAGCCAAGCCACAGCTGGGAATTCATAATTAAAAATAAGCTTCCATGTGTGATTTACTATGGAGTTAGGAAGTGGGCCCCCCAAAAAAGAGCAAAAACCACCAACAACATCAAGTTATTTTCCAAAAACCATCTTTCG